TGGGATAATATTGCCCTCCTTTGCAGCCACAAAGCCCTGTGGCGCTCTTGCCTCCCTCTCAAGCGCAGCCATGGCGTCCGCCTTCTCATCATCTTCGTCATCCTCATCCTGTGCGCCCTTCTGCTGCCCTCTTGCCAAGGCCTGGGACGCAATGAAGTTAACGTCGGTATTATACTGTGCCTGCACACTTCTCTTAATTCTAAGCATTTCCTTGAACGTGTCCTCGTTACCATGCTGGATCTCAAAGCTCTCCCACTTGCTCCAGAACTCTGGGCTGATACGGGGATCACAGAACTGGGATGCATGGCCGTAAATGGCTCTGGCACGGTCAATCTCGCCAAGGCGGCGCTCCATCTCGGCGAATTTGAGGCACATTTCCTTAGCCTCCTTGTCGGGAAGTGCTTCGATGGCACGTTCGTAGATGGGTCTCGTAGAAGTAAGACCAAAGTTAGAGGCAGACTTAGTAATATAAAAGTCAAACATCTCAAAGCGATCTTCATCGGCAACGGCGCGGGTGGCGCGTTCGTAGATTCGCATTGCGTGGCGAGCGAGACCGCGCTCCTCCTCGAGATTGCCATACATGAGGTAGAGAACCTTTGCGAACTTGGGTGGAACGCCCTCGACAGCTTGCTCGAAGAGGTCGCGGAGTCGCTCAATATCGATTTGACGGTTGACGGCTTTGGTGAGGTACAAGTTCCATAGTTCGAATGCAACGGGGTAGGAGAATAGATCCAATCCTCGTTCGTAAACCTGGTAAAGATCAGCATACGCCTATTTATAGATCAGACACATCAGAATTCTTACCTTGAAACTCTCCTCAAAGTACTTGTTCTCCTCAAGAAGATTAGCATAATTCACAACAGTTTGTGGTGTCGCAATCCTGAGCTCAAAAATCCTCTCATAGACCTTCTTTGTCTCCTCCAATGAGCTAACACTCTCCACCAGGTCAACGTAGAAACTCCACAGCTTCCAGCTCTTGTGCACCCTCTGCTGCGGAGTCAATGTCTCGTCAAAGTAATCGACCGTGCTTCTCTTCGGCGCCTGAGTGGCCTTAGCCATAATCTTGACGGCCTCGTCGAAGTTATCATTACGGAGCTCCAATTCGGCCCACTCCACCCACATTTCTGCAAGTTCCTGTACCGACTTGAACGGGACCCGAACGGCCTTCTCCATGATCATCCGTGCCTGCCTGATATCCCCGTGCTTCTCGTAGAATTTAGCGTACCCAGCCCAAAGCGAGTGGAATTGTCCCACCGCCTTTTTCGGACTAACGGCTGCCACGGCATCGGTGTATGTCTGCACAATCTGTGTCTTGTTATCACCCCAAAGCGCAACCCGCTTCTCCCACTCAATAACGTTGTTGGGGTTCTGTCTTAGCAACACATCGTTAACCAAGAACGGTCGTCGGTCCATTAGCTGCTCAAAGCGCATCATGCGGATATCAAGGTCGAAATCCGCATCTTCGTCAACCTTCCCCTTTATCTGCCGCTCAGCAGCATCCTCCATTAAAGTCCCAATAACGGACTCCTCAAACTCGGTGTACGAGTCGAAAATCTGCGTAAAGTCGCGCACAGTCATGACGGTGGTAACACCCTCCTCGAACGCATCTCTAGCAGCTTCAAAGTCGCCCTTTGAGATCCAATAAGTTCCCAGCGATGTCCATAATTTCCCCCGCTGGTCGCTGAACTTCCCAATCCCGCTCCGGACAATCTTCTCCACGTCGATGTTCTTGATCTCCCTTGCATTGTCAACGAGGAGATCGCACAGCTCGCTCCACATCTGGAAATGGCTCTTTCCCTGCTTGCTGCGGAAGTTTGGGTTGTCCAGCACCTGGATCCACTTCTGCGCTGCCTCCTCGTATCGCCCCATCTCGACCAACAGTTCGATGAATTCCTCGGCCTCCTCCGGGTGCACCTGCATGTACCGCCTCCATATCCTGATAGCGGTTTCTCCGGAGGCCGAGTTGGCGAACGGGATGTAGAGGGCCCAAATGCGGTTGTGTTGAGTTAGGGGAAGAGCACGGAGGGCACGGTCGAAGGTACGTCTGGTCTTGGTTACATGGCACTGCTTGAGTAAGAAAGAGAGGTAATCGGTCCAGATGCGGGGCATCTTGTTGAGCAGGATAAGTGAGCGCTCAAAGCAATCGTTGACCTTCTCATACTCCGCTCTATACCTAGCCGGGTTAAGGGACGAGACGTGCTTAACTCTAATATCAAGATACTGCCGTGGCCAAGACGCGTCAGCAAAAACAGTTGCAAAAAAAAAAGAGAGAAAAGTATTCCGGGACGTGAAGCAAAACACACCATCTTCCATAATTTATAAGACCTCGGGAGCGTTTTGCAAGCCCTCTCAAAGACAAAAACCTGCTCCTGGATGGTGCCAGTCTTCATCTTGTACTCGATATACCTCATCCACGGCTTCAGCGAGGAGTAGGGATCCCGCAGGATCTCCTGCTCGTAGTGCGCGTCCTCATCGGAGATCAGGTACAGATCGATCGTGTTCTTCGCGACATTTCCGGCAAGCTTCTTTTGGAGCGTGAGCGTTGTAGTGCTGCTGCTGGATGCAGAGTCGACCTCCATTGGCGCGGATGATACGAGGAGCTCTCCGGGCATTGGGGGGTTGCGTGTGGTGGAAATGTTGTTGGAGTGTGAGGGGAGTTGAGTAGTAGTGACACCCGCAGGAGATGCAAGGCCGTGCAGCTCTCGTGCCAGGGACTCTATCTCGCTCGCTCTCGCTCTCTCGTTTCTTTGTGGATTATAGTCCACTGCCCATGGGTTGTTATGAATGAAAAAAATTGCCGTGGGAGGGTAACGATAGCGACCAAGAGAGTGAGGGGAGGGGAGGGGGGCTGGAAATAATGAAAGGAGGGGGATCTAATATTGTTGCAACGGGAGAGAAGATCGGAGAGATGGGGTGGTGGTTATTGAAAAAGTAATGGTGGTGGTGATGGTGGAAGAGATTTGGGGGGTGGACCGTGGAGGGGGTACGAGATGAGATGAGGTAAGTATGTATCTAACTCTACCGTTGCAGTTAGCAACTTAACTCGGGACAAAGATACCGGGGGTGACGAACGAATGAGTGAATCGAACCAAACTATTAAGAAGGGTGAGGAGACGAAGAGTAAGAACTAGAAGGAGAGCCAAAACGAAGAAGAAGAATACGACGAGAGAGATATCTACATGGAGTTTTCAATTCGTGGCAGACCCATAAAGAAAGAAACCCCGCTAGTTACGTCGTGACGTCTACTTTCCCGGAATGTTTCGCAGCTGAATGACGACGTTGGGGGGTTGTTTCAATAAATAAATAAATACAACCACAACAACAACCATGACCCCCGTATCCATCCACACCTTGCAGCTGGGCCATCGCACCCACCCACCCAACAGAACGAGAGCAAAGAGTGAAAGAAAAAATAAAATAAAAAAACGCTTGTGGAGATAACGCTCTCTCCCCTCCCGCGGACCCGTAATCCTGTCCAATTCCCGATTAAGATCTCACTCACTTCTCTTCCCTCTCCCTGGGCCCACCGTCGCCGCTGCTACTCTACCGTATTTACCTACTGAGGAAGCGCCAGGCTGCATAGTACACAGCCTCAGCATATTACTGGTCCCTCCTAAATAACACGGGCCCGGTGCCCAAAAATACCGTTTTCCTGTGGAGAGAGGAGGGGGAAGGGAAGGGAAGGTCTCTACCCAATTGCCAACACCCAATGGGCCAATCGCTTGAAACCTCTCTCTCCATTGCACTGGGTCGGGTTTCGAATGACACCCACTCGACTCACTTTCTGTGACTTGCCTTCCTTCCTCCCCTTCCCCTTCCCTTGCCCGTCCCCGTGGAGCTCAGATCCGACCCAAATGGTTATTACCGGTCCGTGTGTCGCCACTCTGTTCCCAATTGCCGTCGATGGATGGTATGACGGTAAACAAACCTCCTGGTGAGCATTGAGCCCGTGACACATGAATAGAGTAGGCTGTAGGTTAAGTAGGCAATTGTATGTTAAATATTATTAATTGCACAATTGGCGAGAAAAAAAAGAAAAAACAGCATGCGAGGCATCACCACTCAGACTCTGAATCTCGTGTAATGACATATGCTTGAGTCGACCTTGAATCTACCTTATCTCTATCTGCCTGCCACATGCTGCTTGCTGCTGCTATGTGTATGTATATGCAGCCATAGAAAAAAAAGTCAATCTGTGTTGTGAAACGTTTATTAGGCAAAGGCAAATTGAAGGAAACGCCCAGAAGACACAAATACTACTGGCTTCCACCTTAAAAGTAGCTAGCGCTACAGAGAGAGAGTGAGAGCGAGAGAAAAGCTCCGTTACGTCCATGTACGTAAGACTTACAGGCACAACAACAACGCCTCTGCTTCTGCTGCTACGCTGCAACCATAGAGCATTATCCATTATACCATGTCTGTTCGTCTGTCTCTGTGAGGTGATTCATATAATTAGAGCATGGTGGAGCCTGTCGACAGAACACGACACCGGAAATATCGTGGCCTCGCAGCTAGCAAGCATCAGTCAGTCAGAGGTTAGCACTACAATCCTCTACAATCCTCTACAAGCACCTACATGCATACATAATCTACCCTACATATATATATACTCTATACTCTACATATAATTACAGCAAGAGGTACGGTACTATCACACATACATACAAGTCCCAGCTACATAGATAGCTAGCATTCATTCACTCGAGGTACTTGCAGCAGGCATCATTGATCATTGATTACCTGGCCCCTTCGATCCGTTTTCAATTCCACAGCTTTAATCGCCCCCCCTCTTCAAAGGCCCTTCTTCCTCTTTCTTCCTTGTAGCTAATCAAAGAAAGAAACGAAAATCCCCGGCCCCCAAACTCCCGGAGTACCTACAGAGCCAAAATAACCAAAATAACCAAAAAAAGCAAGAAAGAAAAACCTCCATTGAATCTACATCACCTCCCAGCGACATACATCATACCCCTACCATACCATTACCACCCACCGGAACAATCATGAGCACTGCATCAGCCTCATTACCCAGTATTCCCGGCACCATCACCTCCGCCCTCACATGGACATTCCACCGCCTCACCTCCGACGCCTCCACCACCCCCGCCGCCGCAAAGAAGAAGAAGATGCGGCCCGCCTCGCTCCCACCAGCCCTGACGTCGCCCTCGTCATCCTCGTTCTCGCCTCCGCCGCTCGCGCCGCTTCAGCTCACCGGCTACGTACCGTCCACAAACTCTCGGCTGCTCTCCCGCGCCCTCGCCGAGGAGATCCGATTACTGCTGCCGCCGCGCCTGCAGCTGCATGAGAACTGGACGCTGGCCTACTCGCTGGAGCAGCATGGCGTCAGCCTGGCGACCCTCTATCGCCGCGGTATGAAGGGGAGCTTTGTCCTCGTGGTTAAGGATTCTTCTGGCGGGGTAGGTTTCCCCCCCCTCCACGGCATTGCTTTTGATTGTTGCTGCGCGGATGGGTAGCTAGTATAGTAGAGTGAGGTCTTTTATTAACTGGTGTTATATATATATTTGTAGATCTTTGGCGCCTTCGTCAACGAGCCCTTCCACCCGTCGGGACGCTACTACGGCACCGGCGAGTGCTTCCTGTGGAAGGCGTCGATACTGCCGACCCGGGCGTCGGCGTCGGGAACGTCGACGCCGGATAATACGGACAGGATTCGGTTCAAGGCGTTTCCGTATAGCGGTATCAATGATTACATGATCCTGTGCGATAACACGTCGTTATCAGTGGGCGGAGGGTAAATATACCCCCTTCCCCTTCCCCTTCCCCTTCCCCTCCCACCTTTCCCCTCCCGATTTTAATTAACCCCCCTTCTACTCCTCTCCCGGCAGATCCCGAGCTGATATGGGTTTGTTTTATTCTAGTGACGGCAAGTACGGGCTGTGGCTTGACGACATCTTCGAGAAGGGGGTGTCGCAGAGCTGCATGACATTTGGCAACGAGCCGTTATCGGATGACGGGGAGAAGTTTGAGGTTATTGGGGTGGAGCTCTGGCGGATTGGATGAGATCCTCCTTCCTTAGACCTTCCCCCCCTTTACTTTCAATTTCCCCCCTCCTCCTCCTCCGCACCCTCCCCTTTTTGAATATCTTCCCCATCCTCTTACTCATCATCATATCTTTCTTTTTGTGGCTATTCTTGGGTTGTTATCTACAATACGGCGTTATCTGCTTTCTTCCTCTTCTTTTTTATCCCCCCCCTCATCCTTCTGCAGGAGGAGTCTTTATTCTACCTTACAGACGTATATGACGAAACCACGAACCTGACGTGATAAGAGTGACCATGACATGACATGCATCTACCACAGTACAGCTACGATTCATGTATGGCACGCACAGACATAATTATCTGCCTTCATAGACATTACCTTTCTCCCTACTCACCCCAACCATACTTGTTCCCCGCCCCCCTCTCTATTATCTCAGAATTATTCTATTCATTCTTTCCAGAATTCATGTATGTAGGTAGATAATATTTACCAGTCAGCCCAGCCGCTGTACCACCAGCTCATGTAGCTTACAAACGGCCCTGCAGCCCCTCTATGCTTGCCTTGCAGTCCACTCTGCTCATATGTATCTTCCTGACGTTTGTAAAAGGAACCGCTATTGCATACCATGCTAAATTATGGACTTAGCGCGTATTTATATGTATGCAATAGTGGTTCCTTTTTCAAACGTCAGGAAAATTAAGAGTAGAGTAATCAGCAGCACCTGTGATTATTATATATATAGCGCCCCCATGATTATTATATATATAGCGCCCCCATAGCCCCTCCGCGGCTTCCGTAAGTGCAGAACCAAAACATCACTTCCCACAGGGTTAGGGCTCCCACTACCCCCCTCATATCATATCAGATCGGAGGCGTATTTTACACGCGCGGGCGATAAGAGATCGGTGTTAGAGGTGCCAACACCCCCCCCCCCCCAATGCAGGCGACGCTTATTTCCGACGGATCAGGCTTTTGCTCGCAGCGACGACGTATGTAGGGAGGAGAGATGTATGTAGGGAGAGTAGGGCAAGCTGCAAGTCATGCTTGTTTTCTTGCGGATCGGCGGTCATGTGCGGGTGTGGAAGGAGTGGAGAGAGTGGATCGAGTGATGGTCTATGATGCGAGTTATCTGATGGGCCATATGATGAGGGGGGCTCCTGCCGCTGGTGTATGTTAATTCTGGTGCGGGGTCTCAATTCCCCGTGGGCCTGGGTATGTAACAGGCCGTATTTCCCATCGAGTACGATTATTCTGGTGAGCTCGCCCCCCTAATCCTTTGCTCTAGTTTCTTATTTCCCCAAGCGCGGCCTCGCTACCAGCTGCAGAACCACGTTACATTTGCCGTCGAGACCTACCATTGGCGACGGCGGTACTGAATTTCCGACTGCGAACCTACTTGCTACTTAGGACAAGCACTGGCTATCCCCTACGACGCGAGGATGATACTGTCTGGCTCTTGCCATCTGAGAGACCGAACACTTTGCGGGATACTCTAAGCATTTCACCACCTTGAAACAAGATACCGGGCATACGCGTACCCGCGGTAGATCTAAACTCACCTACATAACTTCCTCAATACACAGGGACACCAAAGACGCCTAATATCTAGGTAGTTGGGTGAATAGTTATAGATATTAGTACGTTGTAGTCGCCCACGTCAAGAGTTCGTGATGCGGAGCCCATAAAGATATGTGTGCAGTATTTCCACCTCGACGTTACACCCCCAAGAACGCCCGGCGTTGCTTTACGCGTAGTGCCGGTGAGTAAACACAGCTTACTCCCCATAACCAACAGACACGGGACCAGCGTAGCACAGTGCGCCCCTAAAGCTAGACACAATGAAATTCTCACTCCGGATATGGACCCGGCGCACAAACACTGACACACCGAGATGACATCATCAGAGACGGGTACGATAAGTAAAGATTACATATCACCCTCAGCCACCCGGGTCCAGCAACTCTTGCGGCCGGCGTGGATATAGAATCTATGGATGCGCCGGTGTTTTAATTCTGAAGTGTGAGTGACGAGTGACTGTAGTAACGTTAAGGAGTGACACTCGAGCTCCCGAAGAGGCGCTGATACCGGTAGGTTTTTGTCGTATTAGTCACTGACCTAAGCACTGCGTGAAAGAGGTATATTATAGATTTGATAACCCGTATGGATAACCACCGTAAGGAGTGTCGACGCTTTAGAGCATGGAGAGTCGTGTTCTTGGCAATCGAGTGATGAGATATGATGCGATAAAAGCTACGACTTGAAATGCGCGCAACTTAAGCAAACGTCATAAAGGCAAAGCTCTTATCAACATAGAGAGCCTAAGCGAGAACGCCATATTTGACGCTTTGAATCTGGAAATCTAATCTTACGCAAAACTGAACCATGGGAAGGACTCTAGCATGATAATTACTACGGAAAAGGTCTAAAATGACACAGTTTTCGGTAGACGTGCTCTACAATAACACATGAGATGGCTGAGCATTGACATCGAAGGGTTAGGGGTTCTGCTTTATCTTGGTAGTGTGCCAAGCTTAAGTACCACTTCCAGCGCAGCATCCACTATGGGCGGGTGGTCTAGCGGATAGACTGCTCGTCGGGTTAGAGTTCGGCGCTGGTGTTTGAAAATAATTAAAAATGCTTATGATATTGTCGAAGAGAGGAAATGTGAATTGTATACACAATTACATACTTAATGAGATTGACAACGAAAGTGTAGTTATTGCATCACAAGATATGACTCGGTCACGCTCCGGGCAACAAGTTCAACCAGCGGAAACTACCAAGATGGACACATGGAGGTACATACTATATTTGGTTTTTAAATATTTACAGTGATCATTATAGCCTCCTTTGTTTTCCGTCAAGATTGGTCACGACAGAACAAACTTTAACATTTGCGATTAAGTAATTTTTCCAGTCTAATTATCTCAAAAACTCCATTCTATAAAAAAGGTATTCTTACTGCAAAATGAGAAGGAAAAAAAAGGTAAATGCAATATAAAATCATTGTACATACAGTGAAATTTGGGGGGGGGGGGGGGGGGGAATAACCAGAAAAGAAAAGCAAGATCAGGTACATAATAGTAGCCCACGCCGTTCATTTGATAAAACCATATTTATTTTATTAAACATGGCAAATGAGAGAAATTAGGCGGCAAGAGATGAAGCGAAATTCAATGGGGTGTGGATATAGAATAGGACAAAACAAAGAGAAAGAGAAAGAAAAGAAGATGGGACAAAAACCCATCCGATGGTAAGGCGTCAGAACCACGCTTCCACTCATCATAGATAGCTCTCAAATATTAATTATGCACCGTACAACCAATTCGCCAGCCCGATTTGGGCACAAATACAAAAAACTGGGATGAAAAGGATGGGAAAGGACCGAATAGATAGTTTGCTTCACATGATAATCTAAACACACAGGAATATTAGCAAAGCGCACATTTTTCAATTTATCTAGCTTCTCGAGATAATGGACACTTACGCAATCTCCATCTTGTTTGGGGGCCTGAGGGACGCCCATATCTTCAAAAGTCTTTGGCCCCTTGCCTGGGGGTTTAGGAAGTGGTGCCGAAACTGGTTTTGGTGTCGACTCGGCTGTGGTTGGTCTCTGAGTTTTGTTTGTAGGGGTGGGCGGACCATCAAAAAGTTCATGGCCAGCCTGCCCACCTCCATGTTGAGGCGCCATGGGCTGCTGCTGCTGCTGCTGCTGCTGCCTTGGTGGGGCTGAACCTTGAGATGTTCCCGGCCGACCAGAATTTGAAGTAGTAGAAGGAGGAGGCGCTATTGGCCCACTAGGAGGAGCGGTCTTTGACGGTTTGGGTCTCTCAGGTGCTTCGAACCCAATATTAACGGGAGCAGGGCCTGACGGGAGTCCCGGCGGTTTTGGAGTATGAATGCGGGGAACTGTTTCACCGTTAAATCCTCCAGGATAACCAGCTTCTGGCGAGTGTGGTGGGTATCCTTGTTGTTGTGGAGGGCCGTATGGCTGTCCTCCGGCACCGGATGGTCTTCGGCTAGGGCTGCTGTCGCTCATGGCAGTGAACGGGCGAGGTGGGCCAGCGGGATATGTACCTGCTGGGGGGATCATTCCAGGAGGAGGTCCTCCACCCATAACTATAGAATAAGGTCTGTTAGTCCCATGCGTTCCAGTATTCGGTCGGGGCTGCGGACCAAAAGCACCTGGTCCACGCGGATGGGGTCCAGGTCCAGGTCCGGGGCCGGAGAGAGGGTAGGGGGCAGCGGAACCGGGCCTTGCTTGGGCAGGAGACTGGGGTACACCAAAGGGTTGCAGATGGCTAGCTATTTCTGGCGAAATAAAACCTGGATTGATGTTGGGCATGGTGGCCTGTCTTGTGGGGCGTTGACCGGGTGGGGGACCAGAATTATAATTGTAATTACCTCCAGGAATTGTGGGATCCGGCATATCTACGGCCTCCTCTAACGGACTCATAATGGGGGCTGCAGCCGATTGCTGCCTCTCCGTGAGGGGATTGTTGCGGAGTCTTTGGGATCCGTGTCGTGCTTTAATTTTTGAAATGGCAACAGCCTCGTGGTCCTTTCGGGATAGTGTTTTTGAGCGTGATATACCGTCAATTCGGCCGCTAGCATCCTTGTTACCATGTGCCGCAGCCTGATTCTAAGTTAGCGATGTTTTTATTGTTAGTGTCTGTTTTTGCTTACCTTCGCATACCACCGTTGCGCTTCTTTATAGTCGACTTGGACGTACATCCCGATTTCGTAAAAGTATCCTTCAAAATGTGAGTAACTATTCAGGAATTTTTTGAGCACCTAAAACGGATTTATACCAATTGCAAATTCGGCGGTTCCGAGTCCTGCTGCTGCTGCCCGTTGGGCGTACTTGAATGCTAATTCTTCGTTTTTGTCGAATACACCTTCATGACCACATAGAAACCATTTACTAATGGCCATATCCGCCTCCGGCTCGCCTAGAAAAGTCGTCAACAATTATTCTTAAAGATTCTAGAATCTCGAAGATAATTACCTTGCCTTGCGGCCAGGGCATTGTAATGGAGAGATAGCGCTGGGTTGAAATCACACCCTAATTGACACAACTCATACGCTGTTCCCATCTTAAGTTGCGCACGCTGCGTGACTGTCAGTAGGTAAACCGTTTATAGGAGTTGTACTTCTTACAGCAAACCCGAGAAAAGCTGCTTTCTCGATCATCTCTCTTGCCTGTCTAATATCAAGAGGCAAGAAAAGATCCGGAATTTCTATACCGGGAAGCTCTCGAGCTAACAACATGCCATAAACCTATCACCAAGTTAGAATTGATCATATACCATCTTCCGTAAGCTTACATATGCCCCTTGGGGTGCGTTTTCGTCGGCAGTGTTAGCTGCTTGCTTAATGAGATTAACACCCCTTGCATAGTCTTGCTTTTGGCCATGTTGCCCCAGCAATGTCATCATTCCAAGTCTCTGCCAAGGAGTTAGCAACTATTAAAACCCAATCCATAAAGATATTAACCTACGTAGTTGGATGCTGAGTCGCCCAAATTCGCTCCCTGATTGTAATGCTTAATCGCTTTCATAGGCTCATTAGAATTCTCAAACTGCATCCCCATCCTATACTCAGCGCGAGCAAAGTCTTTTTCCGCTGCCCGGGCATAACACCTGAAAGCCTCCTTTTTATCTATCCTGAATCCAAATTTTCCGAACTCCAGCCAGTTTCCCCTCATAAACTCTGCCCTTGGATGGTGTTGATCAGCTAGAAAGCTTACAACACTAATGGCATCTGTTTTGATTTGATGCTCAAGCGCAGGAGTCATTGGTCTTTCTGAGCCTTCATAGATTCGGTTGTGGTATGCTACCGAAACTTCGACATAGCTCAACGCGTCCTGGGCCCATATCAACTGCATCTCAGGGTCGTTCGATGAGAGCACCTCCAAACGAGCCCCCTCAATCTGCGCTTCCTTCTCTTCATCTGTCGGGGGGATGTTTGGGCCAGGATTGATGAGCCTTGGAAACGGAGAGAATACTGGATCCTCCATTCCCGAAAACCGGTAGTCATCTCCTATCGATGAGTGGTACGACGAAGCATAACTAGATCGAACCCCTCGGTCGTCGCTTAAAGGTCGACCTTGCGATGGTGTAGAATAGGGATCGACATAGTTTCCCTGAGGATAGTTTCCTTGGTTTCGTTGATTCATCATGTTGCTGCCGTCGATTTCAAGATGCTTCAAACTGTCTGTTATGTGTCCAGGAACTTCGGGCATTACTCTGGCGGATATCAGCAAGTTGGCAGCAATAGGAGGTCGGAGGGGTTGCGGGGGCAACAACAGAAAACGTTAAAACAAACTTGACAGTGAATAGTCACCAAATGAAAAGAGAAGACCAAGAAGTATATATGCACTAGTAACAGAACAAAGGAGAAACAAACCTCTGAGGGGCTGGAGACACGATATTGAGTTCGGGCATCATGTAATCATCATTTCCGGGATAGAAAGTGGCGCCCATGCCGGACATACTCCGTCGTGGATCTGTGCGGCCAAAGGATGGTCGGTCAACTCATGAAGAAAAGTCAGGGCGGAGCCCCAAGGCAGATGAAGGCAAAAATGCGCATCAAAGCTCACATTTTTTTACTCACCTGTTTATAAAAAAATTAAGTCTACTACCCAAAGCAGTACTTCCGCACCGGAACTGCGTCTCAGCCGTGCTCCGGAAGACTACCAGAAAAAATAACCCTTGAATTATTTATCTAGAAAAGCGATGCGATGGATGTTTTCACCCCGCAGTATGGCAACCAGGAGGAGCTTTGGTCCTTCCTTCTGCTGTCGGGATGGAAGCAGAAGTGGTTTCGTTGTCCAGGAAAGGAGTGCTGCAACGATTGGATGTGGGATCTCACAAAAAACACGCAGAATCGGGATTCTATTCCGACTAGACTCAAATTATTAGATGACGACTTGCCGACCGGGCCGCAAGGCAAAAGGGCAGTTGTTAGATGTCAGAGTTGCAGTCTGCTGCAGCAGCTGCCGCTGGGATAGTAAAAACTGAGTAGTAGTAGGAAAGACCCGAAGCTGAGCAGCAGGTAGGGGTTTACGAAGTAAAGAAAATAGCACGACAATAATGAGAAGAGTGGCGATGATCACCGGCTTTTGTGGTAGGCTTCCAGTTGAGTACTCGCTATAGAATACAGTCAGTCAGTTGCTGCTGGTTGGCCCTTGAGGGGATGAGGAGCAGGCAGCATGATATTTTTCAACCTTTTCAGGCCCCTCTTCTCTCACACGTGCAAGGGACAATCATCTACTGAGCGGGAGGCTGAGCACAGGAGCACCTAATTTGCCATATTCTTCTGGGTATCCTATTATTACATCTTCTGGGTACACAAGGTTGCATGTGGAGCACCCAAAAGCATGTAGGAGGGGCTTAGGAACAACAAAAAGAGTACATGTATGTACATAATGTATCACACACTACGAGTACAATATACTTTGCTGCGCCTTCTGGCTTGCTTATCACTAGGAGCAAGCCAACCCATCCAAACTTGCCATGTACCTCATCTACATGGGCGTTTCCCCAAGAAGACTGAATACTTCTGCCAGATGTACAGTACATGTATGTACTCGACTAATTACAACTTGAGGATACCTACCAAAAACAGCGTAGTTAACCTCCAAAGGCTTCAAACGTGCGGCGATGAGCCCTGTACAGATGCCCTCCAAATCTCGGAGGGGTTTCTGATACGTACAGTATTACGCGTATGGTAGACATTTTATGGGTTCGAGTCTTCTTGGTTTGCGTATCAGCGGAAAACCCCACGCCTTTGCCCGGTTTGGTGTAACACGTCGACGTCTAACTGAGACCGTAGATGTCATTAATACATATTTGAGTTTTTGAAATGCTTATTCTCAGCCTCAATTCTATTGGAATACATGTACCTATGTCATCTCCGAAGTGCTTTAAAAGGTCGTATCGAGTCTATGGTTGAGTAGCTTAAGCTACAGCGAATGCTGCAGGGTAACTAATGCGGGGAAGAACCCTACTCTACATATACCTACATCTACAGTTTCCGGTAGAATTATTGCGAAAATCAGAGCTAAAAGAGTGGATTTTGTTGGTCTGTGCTCGTAGCAAAAATCTTTTAAGGGCCAATAGGACTATCGGGTCACGGGGAACCCACTTTCGCAATAATTCTACCGGAAACTGTAGATACCGCAACACAAGCATTTAAGAACTACATGTATTATCTACATGATGTACCTATGCATCATCTAGGGAGAGGGCTTGGAGCTCTGATGTGTACAAGGACCACAGCTAAGCTAGATAAGTAATTTACATACAGTCGCAACTCGATATGCCGGATTGCCAAGATTCTAAGGATTTCGTACGGGATAGCAAAAAATCCGGGATAGCAGATTGATTTTGCAGTAGGAAAAATAATATTCTCAGAGGATCTCGTACGGGACAGCAAGGGATCCGGTGTATTGAGTTCCGGCATATCGAGTTGCGACTGTAAAGCACTAATACCGAACTCTAAGTTTACTAATCACCACAGCTAGAGTAGAATATGCTCTTAGTCTATGCACATCTGCATTGGAGCAATCTTAAAGCCGGCAGAAAAGTTGCTAGATCTTTCTGTAATACAACATGGACCCTCTCAAAGATCGCGCTATCCCACAATAGAAACTCTGGAATTCGGAACACTCTTCGGCCCGGCGGTCTGTGAGTTAAGCGGAGTGTGTAGATACAAGATCAGACCGCTGCCTCTTACATACCTACTGCATCATCATTGACTTCAAGTTAAAGCTTGGCGAAGAGCATGTGATGCCAAGATTACCCTTCATGAAACGTGCCAAACCTTATTATTTCCACGTTTCACGGGTCCGCTTTAAATATCCTTAGTGTGATATACGAACCTATCCAAAAAAAAAAAAAAAAAAAAAAAAAAAAAAAAAAAAAAACTTATTGAGAAAGTAAAAACACCATAGATCACGAATACTACTGAAATTCTTCTTGTATAAGCCTATATTCACCGGGTACCAGTGCTGACATTTTCTCTGGTATGTATGTTCCGGCGAGATTTAAGTTTAATGTATTATGTACATACATCCTCGAAAAGTTATGTCATTTCTTGGGGCCCGGGAGACTCTATAATCCTTCGAGCATACGATTTTGGAAAGTAAACGTCGAAATAGTTGGCGCCTCTATACTGCAGTATCTCATGTGTAGGAGTCTGAGGGTAAGATGTACTTTAGTAACCTCGTCATAATGTCTATCTTATCCTTTTAGAGGTTCTTGAGGGCCAGACAATAGGAACTTCTCAGACCTCACAAGACCGGTCATTGTACCCGGCGGGAGAAGCCCATTTCCGCTAAGACTTGAATCCGATTTCTTGCATAAAAACGGCACATTCTGGAGGAACTTTGACGCTCTTATCGTTTCCGTGTCTCAGTGGGGTTTTGTTTGAAGCTGGTTAACAAGTTCAGGACCCCTGATCTCCTCCAGGGATAGTCACGAGCTTTGGAGGGGAAGGTAACACACGTTGTTTTCTCTTGGGAATCAAAGAATGGGTCTAGAAAAAGGCAGGAACGGAGAATTGATTGGAGCTAAAGAGGATGATGACATGTAACCCTCACCTGAGATAAAACCTTTCGCTTAAACTGCTCGTATTGTTGGTGTTTGGGGTCTCATACATGAAACTTCGATTCTTAACCGCCCAGGATTTAATGTAGACATAATAAGCCATTTTCACCGTTTGAATCAACAAAAGCTGATAGGGCAAGCGGTGGAGCGTAATAATCGCCCAGGCATGTAGAAAAGACCCACCAACCAGGAGGTACCGATGGCGATATTTGCAGAGAATGCACAGCATGCCGGATGGCCCCTCCCCTCCTGTCACGGATACAGACAATAAGCCCTGGCCTGAAATATTAGAGCATATACCTAGAGATTTTGGACTGCAACATCAGGCGATTACTTAGAGAAAGAAGCTGATTCCAAAGTTTTATCTCATCACTAGCGCGCAAGCTCGCAACCCTGGCTCAGGCATCTTTTGCGCCTGTGGTAACCGCTACGAAATAACTCCAATAGAAAAACAAACGTAGCCGACTCCCGCTCGCCTCCTTCAGACCATCCCTTACTTGAATCAGTTCATTGGATCCCCTTTTGTCTCTCATTATCCCCACTAGCGGTTCACACTCCCTCTCCCTTTTCTTTTCTTCTCCTACTCCCCTCACTAGTTCCTCATCTCTCAATAATTTCCACTTCTTTCGTTCAAACCTTCGAGTCTCTCCTTTGGCTTCTCGGCGTTTTCCATTTTCACCCCACACGTTCAACTCAACCTAAGATATCCTACCGAGGAGTATCGCGGGCGAGCAAAACCAGCATACATAGATCGCCCCTTGCCAAATACACTTGCGCTTCAGCTGGTCCTGAACGAAATCGCGAAAACCTTATTTGAGGTCTCGTCCTCACGCGTTGATCGCCCAACCCACCAAAAAGTTCTAGACCGGGGCGGAGGGGAAAAGAAGCAGCCATGAGTAGCGGCTTCAAAAAACTAGGCTCCCAGTCAGAGCGGTCTCGCTGGCCAGCTCTGATGGCAAAGATGAGCTCCGCAGATATTAGTAAACATGATGTCAAGCTGCTCACTTTGCAGCAAAAGATCGACCGCTGGTACGTGCACTTTAGAGGAATCTACATTGTTGCCGCATGAAAGAGCTAATAAATTGTTAGGATGGTCAACGAAGGTTACCGACGAATGTAAGTCACAAGTTTAACGCCTTATTGGAATCCCATTGTTTCTGACGTCCAATCAGTTTTGTCGGGCTGTTCATATTGCTACACATGCTGGTGTTCGGGTTTGGTTTTATTCACTATACCCTCAAGGACACTCTCGTTGGGGCTCGAGAGGTGTTTGGAATCACATTACCTATAGCTCGAGCTTCTGCGTTGGTGTTGCATGTAGATGTAGCCCTGATCTTATTGCGTAAGCAAACCCGCCAATCAACCTTTAGATGTCCCTCAAGCTAATGATTTTATCTACATAGCCGTTTGCCGTAATCTTATCTCTATGGCTAGACAAACCGCCCTTAACGGGATTATTCAATTTGATAAGAATATCACTTTTCACAAGAGTATTTGTGCCTCCGCCAATTATGTGAAATACAGCAACTAATAGTCTTTGATAGTGACCGCGTGGTCTATCGTTTTCTTCTCATGGCTTCACACAATTGCCCATTGGAACAACTTTGCCCAACTGGCAATAAAGAATAATCTCGGGTTTGTAGGATGGCTACAAGCTAATTTTGTTTCGGGTCCTGGCTGGACTGGATACATTATGCTTATTTCCCTGATGATTATGGCTGTCACGGCGATGGAGAAGCCCCGTAGGGCCAATTTCGAGAGATTCTGGTAAGTTCTTATTCCTTCAGGCCTTATATATAAAACACTAATAATTTTAAGGTACTCTCACCATCTCTTTATGATTTTCTTTTTTTTCTGGTCATTCCACGGTGCCTTTTGCATGATCAAGCCTGATCGTCCTCCTTTCTGTGACGGTATTGGTGTTTTCTGGAAGTTCTGGATGGTTGGCGGTGTCCTTTACCTTGGAGAAAGGACCATGCGTGAGATCCGTGGTAAACACAAGACATACATCAGCAAGGTCATCGAGCATCCTAGCAATGTCGTTGAGATCCAGATCAAGAAGGATCGCACCGTCACCAAAGCCGGACAATACATTTTTCTTTGCTGCCCAGAAGTATCAATCTATCAGTATCACCCTTTCACACTAACTAGTGCTCCGGAGGAGGACTACATCTCTGTCCACGTCCGTATGGTTGGAGACTTCACTAAACAACTTGGTAAAACCTTGGGCTGTAACATCGATAAAAAGGCTCCCAGCGGCGCTGACGCCAAGGCCGAAAAATCGAAGCGCAGAGAGTCGAGAGTTATTGGTGTGGATAAGAATACCAAGGAGGATGTTGATCCGGCCATTCGCAGGGTTTTGCCCCGAGTCTATATTGATGGGCCTTTTGGATCCGCTTCGGAGGACGTTTTCAAATACGAAGTCTCTGTTCTTGTTGGTGCTGGTATTGGTGTTACTCCTTTTGCATCAATCCTGAAGAGTATCTGGTATAGGAGTAATTACCCGCAGAAGAAGACAAGGCTCCACAAGGTTTATTTCTTCTGGATCTGTCGTGACTTTGGATCCTTCGAGTGGTTCCGCTCTTTACTTTTGGCCATTGAGGCTCAGGATATTGGCCATCTTATTGAGATCCACACATACCTAACAGCCAAGATCAAGCCTGATGACGCTACAAACATCATGATTAACGATGCCAACGCCGAAAAAGATGCCATTACAGGTCTAAGAGCTCCTACAAACTTCGGTAGACCGAACTGGGACACCGTATTTAAAAGTATCCGTGCTATGCACACACCTGCAGATGTTGGAGTTTGTAAGTTTTTACACTTTTGTTTTTAATACCTGGAGCTGTTGTTAACTAGTTTCATTTAGTCTTCTGTGGACCCAAACCCCTTGGTTCAGCACTCCACGTTAAGTGCAATCAATACTCCGAGCCAGGTTTCTCCTTCGTTTGGGGAAAAGAAAACTTCTAAGTTTTCTTTGTGTATTTTTGATTTTAGAGACCCTATACGTGTACGTTCTCAGGAACAGTTGGCATTCGGGCGTCTACTAAATTTTCTATTTGATTTATCGATATATCCATTTGTATTATGCTTTCTTCCTTTTGGGCTGGTTGATTTGCAACGAGGAAAATACGGTGCATTATAGGATGGGACAGGGCAGGACAGGACAGGATTTGACGGCAGGCGATGGCACTTTTTTAAAGTGGGAATCATCCCTTTTCTTTGGCATCATGGCGAAGCATTATCAATTTTATTTCATAATTTTATATTACATTTTCTGCTTGTGCTTTCACCGTTGATATCCCCTCACTCGAAAATCTTTTCTCATTGTACTTCTACATGAACTCAAATTTCCTTCATCAATTATCACTCATATCCGGGGAATAGTATGATTGGTTAATTATCCTATATACCAAGCATTGAACATGTGTACGGCTCTGAGCCTTGTTTTCTGAGTGCTGCCTGTCGATATATTTCTGGCAATGCTAAATAAAACCATTATTTCCACTGCACAGTCTCAAATATATATTTGAATGGATTGATTCGTTGATTGTTTGACCTATGTACTCTACCTACAGCCAGCATATCTTTAAGCCGGGACAAAATATTAACCGCAAACCATTTCAATACGCCCCACGCATACTCTTCTCTACTTGTGGGCGTATAGGTTGCATCCTCAACCCCTCGGACAGCACCCAGAGACGGAGTGAGACCCTCCCCTTAGCTCGTAAGGGGCCTAGCCAGAGCGAGCTGATAACGCAAAAAATCCCAGGTTTTATGGGACGTTCGCGAGTGATATACGAAGTGAGGAGTTGTGGGTAAGTTGTTACCGAGTGATATTTCATGATTCAAATAATACTAGACTAGATCGAGACTCCCAATAGAACTCTGAGAATTTTAATGTCTAGCCAGTAATGCAATATAGGAGCTCTGAGTTAGTCCTCGTTATATCATCATTAGGGCTACCGATATTATCTAGGTTTACTAGCTAGGAATGGCGGGATTTTCGATAGTCCTAATACATATAGTTATAACAGCAATACCCTTAAGCTACATATTATACGATATTTCACATCCACGACTTGACTAATTTGAACACAACTGGCGCTGGAGAATGGCGAAGCAGATTCATCATATAAGCTCCTTCAAATCAGCAACGCTCTAAGTCAAGTCAACTCTAGTTATATCTACAAATCTATCAAGCCACAATTAAGCTTGCGTCAAATCGCTCCCATATCCCCGCGACCTCGAAGGCTGGAGCTGGGCCAAGGCCCATTCATACACAAAGAACTATTCAATTATTTTAGTAAAACCGCAACCGACGAGGGAGGGATAAGAAGAAAAATGCTGATTATCTGAACATACCCCTGCTGCGTTTACCTGTAGATTATAGGTTATCAATAGTGTCTCATTACAGATGGGGGTAGTCGGTACTTACCAGAAAAGCTCTCGCCATGCTATTCCGAAGGGGTGGGTGAATAAGAATCTCATATTATACACTCATCCTGAACAGTGAATAGGACTTACCATATTCCTAGTCCATCGAAGAAAATCTTCCTTCCACCTTCTCTGTACGCCGCTTTCGCGCACTCCCAAGTACTCATCTCGGCGCCCATGGGCGCAACACCCCGGTTCTGATTCGGAAGCAACGGTGCCTCGGAAGCGGTAAATTGCGTCTGATATCGAGTCTTGACGAGATCCAATGGATAGATAGAGGCCCAAGAAATGCACCCTGCCAACCCTCCAGAAAGTAGGATCTTGAAGGCATAGTGGTCGCTCATATCAAAATTGCCGTCTAGGACCTTTTGAATGTATTGGTAAGGCAGGAAGCTACGGTGACTGCGTCAGTAGCTATACAGGGTAGGTGGGTGCATGGTAGGTAGGGTACTAGAAGCCGTATCCAATCGAGTCCCGAAGACTCGTTACCACTCCCCCGAAATATAGTCCCCGAATTCCTTGTGAGCGTAGGATCTGCTTGGTTATACCCCAGGAGGATTCGGCGCTCGCGCTTAACTGGGCGCGGCATTTTACTAGCTATTGTTTTACTACTTGTAAGCTTTACAGTTTGAACATGCTAATAGGTGAAGGCAGGCAGACATCGGTAGGTGAATTAACACAGAAAATAGCCAGTCCTCCGGCTGCTCCTGCAACCCAAATCTTCCAAAGACTAGAGGGGCTTTCAGGCGTATCTCCAAGGAGTTCGAGCGTGCGGTTGTAGGAGACAAAAAGAAGGGCGTTTAGAGCTCCATACCCGACGAGCGGAGCTGCTGCGCCTATGGGTGCGTTAGTGTCTGGTTTGGGTAATTGAGATCATGTCATGATAAGACCTCTAACTAAACTGCCGGCATTCTCGAAACTGTATGTTTGGGTAGGACTAATATTCCGGGGACCGGACTGGAGGCGAACTTTGATTATATCGAGGGGGGACCCAATTATTATAGAAGCTACGCCAGAGATGTAACTGCGAATTGTTAGCAACGTTACAAGCTAGGGCCCGGGTGGGATAGCTGAAGTTATTATACCCGGCCCAAAAGTCTGCCATCCTTTCTGTCTCAGGAACGAAGTTATGAATCTAGGAATCCGGGAATTTAGGAAGAGGCTAAGGGGGACCTTTTAAAGAAAAAACGGTACCTACATGCCTAATTGACAGCTACGCCTCAAGTATTTATCCCATATGCAGGTGAGATGCGATGGCCCCGGGTGTGACAACGCGGGGGAAGCCTAGGCCTACGTACGTTTGCCTAGTCTTATCTGGAGTATGACAATACGCGCAAGAGGGACAGCCTTAGGTACGATCCAAGCTACATCGTATATATCAAAAGTATATTTGAGACATCTTGGGTAACCCTAGCCCTGTGCATATTTACACCCGAATCAATCATTACCGCTACATCATTGGCTAGAACAAACCTCATGTCTCGGATGGTTCCGGTCGCCCGGCTCACGAAAGAGGCACCACTTCGATTCTCTATCAACATTTGTTTCGGGGAACACGATAGATCTATGCCATTTGCCGACAGATTTGTGAGATTTTTTCTTTGCGCTTATCGAGGTACCATTGGCTGTGGCCTCTTCAAGTACCCCCTAGAGCTGGAATCGTCAGATGAACACTTGATCATGTTGAACAAGAAGGAGGGGGAATGTCGATTCGCAGCGCCATGATGGAAGCTTGCAGTGTCAAGGTTTCCTCCTGACGTGTCACTTACCAGAATGGCACATGGCACCGAATACTGTGAAGCAAAGCCTTCAATTCGAAGGCCAACTACATATTATCTGGGTCATACGAGCACTTCAAGGCTTTGCTGTAAGTAAGGAGACGGGCTACCTAATGTAACATCAGGACGAGAAGAATCTAGCACACTAACAGCAGTTGAAACGTATCAATGATTGTACAATCCAGATATTGCCGGTCCTCAACTACCGTCTCCAGCAAGCACCCGTCATCTAGATCAGAACCTTGGAGTATCCAGTAAAGATTTGCTCAAGTATGGTTAGTTAGTTTATCAAGCTTAAACCACTCACGAAGTCTCAGGCACGGCTCCAACTATACCTCACACCGCTGCATTCCTGGTTACGGGAGCTCTAATACTCTACCACCAACTTCCATACCTCCCATAAACAATTACCATTGCCATAACTCCCTTCAGACTACAAACCTGCAAGAGGCTCCGTATTCGTATCTAAATGCCTCAATCTTGCGGCTCAAATAGAAGCATTCTTGGCATCTGCACGGCACAACGGTCATTGACCTGCCCATAGCTCTCATGTGGTACTTGCTCTCCATAGGCCCAACCTCGAGTCACGCAAGCCCCTCTTCCAGCGTACAAGCAAGCTGAGCTCACCTGTACCACCCACTACATGTAACTATACCATGATAATATAACGATACCAACGAAATAATGTAAATATCCACCTACTTAAAGCTTGAACCAGACTAACCTAATAATAATAGGATTGAAGTCTCCATCCGCCTCCGCCACGCCATCCTCGCCGGCGACCTCCTCCTGTCAGTTCCCCTCCCCCACAAAATCCCCCCTCCCCTAGCCGCAACCACTAATACCCCACTAGAACCAAACGCATCCTCAAAAACCACTCCAACGCACTCTACAACCCCGACCACGCCGGCAACACCTCGCTCCACCTCGCCGCCGAAAAGGGCCATCTCAGCATCGTCCAGCACCTCGTCACCGAGTCCCACCACGAGGACGCCGGGATCTCAAAGAATGCGGCCAGCGACACGCCGCTGATGCTGGCGGCTGGCGGCGGCCATGAGCAAATTGTTGTGTTCCTGGCGGGCGCCTTTGAGCGCTGTATTGACTGGCGGAACAAGGCGGGGCTGACGGCGATGATGCATGCGGCACAGAAAGGGTGGGACGAGGTTGTCAATGTGAGTTTTATCATGAACACGGGGAGAGGGGGGAGAGGGGGCTAATTGGGTACGGAAGACATTGATAGACTTGGGCGCAGATATAGACATGACCGATGCGCTGGGTAATACCGCACTACATGTACGCCCCTCCACCCCCGCCTCCTACTTACTCGCGGCCCGGGCCCTTGGTTACTGCAGCTGAACAGAGAACTTCAAGTTCGCCTTCGCCTACGGGCACCACAACACCATCAGCACGCTCGTGGACCGGGGCGCAACAACGGATAAGCGCAACCGCCAGGGCTTCATCCCGCTGGACTATTCGTACAACATCCAGGTCGAGCAGTACTTTGAGAACGTCGTACCCGACAAGCGGTATGTGGCCGAACGGGAGACAACGCGCAGTAGAGCTGCGACGCCGATCTTCGGGAGGAGTGAGAGGACTACGACGCCGCAGAGGCAGAGGGCTAGTAGTGGCTCTTGAGGTGGCGCTGGATAGGGGTATAGATATTGATGTGGAGTACGATATATATATATATGGTAGCTAAGACTAGATAGATTGTACCTTGGCTTGGGAACAATGAGTGTGTCTCTTCTTTGGCTGTTATTCAATGAATTCATTATGTTTTTCTTTTCTTTTCGTGAAGAGAATACCAGTACTCCTCCGCAATTGGATTGGGCGGATAGCAACGCAAGAAAGAAGGATCCGAGAACATAACTAGATAGAGAATCAAAGCACATACACACACGCGCACAAAAAGACAAACACCCATTCATTTTATGTTTTCAAACAGCATGCCAGAATCCCAGAACTAAACATCTCGCTTTTTCTCTTTTCATCAGGGCTCAAAAAAGGAGGAATAATAGAAGATAATAGCAAGTAACAAAATCAATTACACTTGGAGAAGATATGCGCAAAAAAAGAAAAAAGCAATCACTAGAGTCTGCCTCTACAGGAGCGAGTCTAGCCTGGTAAAGACGCTCAAAACAGCTGATACTACCTGTAAATGGTAAAGAAATGATAATTAGTTATAACTCAAAGGGTAATGATTGCAGTGTCAGAAAAATAGCCTACCTCCAACTGGAGCTCTCTGTCCTTATTATTATTCACCTCCTCACTCGTAGCCTGCCCCAAGTTCTGCCCAACGCCGCCGGCCGTATTCCTCTTCCCAAATGGCCACTGGCTGTACTCGGCCAATAGCTCATCAACATGCGCGAACGCTCGTTCCCTAGCCTCATGTCCAAGTGTCGCCAGCGCATTCTCCAGTACGTTCGCAGCATACGCCGCACAGACCATCGCTACGGTGCGCAGGAAGCGGAACTCCATCTCTTCGGGCAGGAAGGGGTTTCCCGGTAGCACGACCGTGCGGGATGTCAATACGTTTCTGACTCTCCGGCGGATCTCGTCCTTGGCGCCCCCGTCGGCGACTGGGTGAGTGGCCATATCGAAAAGCAAAAAGTTGCGCTTTTCGGTGCGGAGGATCCCCTTGTCTACCAGGCCCTTTGCGAGCCGCTCGCGGACCTGCTTAAGCTGGTAGCCGATCTTCATGAGGTTCCATGTTTCACCTGTAATAATAGAGTCAGTAATGAAACAGGGCGAGTGCGGCTTGCGGTCTTACCGCTCATAAGGTCGATCCAGGAGCTTACGCTCATCTTCTCGGATGCCTTCATCATCTTGAGAGCTTCGTCGAGCAGTACCTCGCCGGTTTGCGTGTCGTCGATCACCTCAATGATGCGGTCCGCCAGTGGGAAACGCCGGCGGGAGGAGTCCTTCTGCATAGAGATGCGTCCGCGGAAGGCAAGCTCGAGGACTATACAGCCTCGGAGGGCATACGAGATATTGTCGTTCCAGAATGACAAGTATCCCTATTTGCGCGGCTTCAGCGGTCAGAACTGCAGATACCTCAAAGCCAAGTCCAAACAATACAACATCCTCTACCTCTGAGCAGAACTGTATATAGGGTGATGGATAGAAGGGATTTGGGGGGGGGGGGGGGGGGGCGGAAGAATGTCACACCTGTTTGTCCTTCAGTCCCAGCAGCAGGATCTCCTCCATCAAGGTCAACTTTGGCTGCTTATTCCTCTCCTGATTCTCACTGATATCTCTCGGGTCGAACGCTGCAAATCCCCCCCAGATTCATTCTCCCTGCATTAGCCTTCTGTCTTTGTCGCCCCAAGCCCGCCGCCATCATATATTCACACAAACACACAAAAACGGCGATTCAATTCCGCTCACCAATCTTGTGTCCATTCTCCGTAGTGTACGATGTTTCCCCGCCACTTCTCGCTTCGCTGGGCCTTGTGTTTGTGCTTGGTGATCCGCTGCGGCCCTCCTCGTCATTCCCGGCCGAACCGCTGCCGCCTCCTCCACCGCCTCCTCTCCGTCGTGTCAGTCCTGCAGTCGAAGCCATAGTGCGGGGGTTGGTAGGCGGTGGGGTCTCGTATTCGTCGTAGAGGTTGCGTTTGAGATGTTGGATGTGGGAGAGGTTGTAGGTAGTAGGTTGCACTTTGGTGCAACGCGACGAGGAAGAGTAAGCAAGCGACCGGTGAGTGCTAAGCAGTTGCCTAGGTATGTAGGTAGGTTGAAAGAGCTATGGGGAAGACGTTGGTAGTAGTGGACGCGTGGAACAGGAAGGAAGGAACGGGGAACGGGGGGGGGGGGGATTACGGGGGTATGGATATATGGATATGGGCCAGAATCTATATACCTAGATCGATGAATGAATGGACGGACGGGGGAGGGGGCTGTGCTCTGCTAATCGGCGGAGATATAATTTTGAATCGCGCACTGAAATTATAAGGGTAAGGGAACGATTATCAGATTCTCATGTCTGAAGTAAAGGCACTAGGAATGGGCCTGTAACTCGTAGCCCGTAAGAAAGCTTGAAAAAGGGGACACTCGGCTGCAGCACATTGCGGGATGGTGATGCTGAATGGACCAGTACCTGCTACAATATTAATGGTATTCGGCTGTATTCAATTCACTACGCTCTACTGCTACTGCTGCTCTGATTTCTATATGTGCGCCATGTATGATGATGGCATTCTACTGTGGTTTGTTGACTGGAAGGACGAGATTTGTCAAAGCTCTATTCATGGCACTGCACTCACTCTACAAAGCTGCCCCACGAATAGATACTGGTGATCCTCTACCCCCAATCATCTTTGACGCCGCCAATGATAGGGTGACGCACGTTACTTTTGCTCACGCCGAATACTCACGGACACCATAGCTCATAATCCCACCTTACCTACAAACCCTCACCGCCAAATCTCGGAAATTCGCCTCCTCATCCCTCCCTGGTGAAATCGGACCCTCTACTCGCATCTTAAAAATTAATAAATAACTTCCCATGACGACTACAACCTCAACAAGGAACCTTGCGACTATTTTGAGTAGCATAATATTTTTTGAAGGCTTTTTTTTTCCCATTCCCATCTTCTAAGCAATCTCAACAACATGGCAAAGTTGTCATTGCCTAACTAACAACGACTATCTGCCGGACATGTACAATATGGAGGGGTGTGGAATACAAGAGAGTCAACCAACCGAGCTGGTCTCACCCATTAAGGAAGAACGGACGATCAATGATTTAGTTAGCTAGATTATTGATAGGCGCTGTCAGTAACAACCCACAGGAGAAAAAAAAAGCCGTTGTACGCACGGACGGGCGGGGGGAAACGGCTGGATTACTACTGACCATCGGGCTGAGACACGATGTAGTTGACGGCCTGCTCGACTGTTTTTTTTTAAGAGATAGGTTAGTCTGCGGACACTGGCAGTGTGAGGGTGAACATGGCGGTTCACATACCACTCTGGATAGCATCGGCCTCCTTGTCGGGGATCTCAATGCTGAATTCCTATAAAGGTTGTTAGTTCTGGCAATTCTCCGCAGTGAGATCATGGCCGATGGATCACAAACCTCCTCAATGGCCATGACGACCTCGACAGTGTCGAGACTATCCAGGCCAAGGTCGTTCGTAAAGTGAGAAGTACCAGTGACCTATACATCACAACCAATTGGTAAACTCATCACTGACGTATGTGCAATCATCTAAAAAATTACCTGAGTGTCCTTGGTGGTGACCTATAATATAATAGCCAACAATCAGTGACCCCATTCTACACAAAACCAAACCCCTCCAGGTCCACGCAATCTCCAGAATAAACGAACCTTATCGAACCCCTTGAGCAGTTCAATTATCCTCCCCTCAACCTCGTCCTTGGACAACGAAGCCGGCGCCGAGTAGCACCTGATGGCGGCGAAGGGCTTTGCCGGGAGCACCGCACGCACACATGTTGGTCGGGCAATAGCGATCGGAGTAGAAACCCTGGCACCGAGGACAGCGGTGGAAAATGAGCGCGATGCGCGAGCGGCAGCCGTTCTGAACATTGTGGTTGTGGTTGTGTGGTGGAGGGGTTGTTGAGTGTGGTGTGGGGTTGGTGGTGGTGGTGGGGGGTGGGTAAGTTGTTTGGTTTGGAGGGGAAAGGAAGAGATGGGAAGCGGAGGATGATGGTGTCGGTTGGCTGGCTGGGTTGTTGCTAGTGACGATTATTTTCGCGATGCAGCGTTTCTCGAGTCTCGGCTCTTGATGTAAAGCCCCGGAGGTCCAGCTTTTTACTCTAGCCCCCACCGAAAGAAAGGATCCCCCTAGTCCTATCTACAAGCCTAAGTTCCACCTGCAAGAAAAATAGAAACAAAAATTCTCTCAGGCAGAAAAATGATTTATAATTCTCGATTCTGATGAAATATCACTCGTCTAATTTTCCGTAGGAAAAAACCCGTTGGCCCCCCCAGGATCCCGACGTCGCTTCCAACCAATCAGGGCCCTCCCGTATAAGCAGCAGCAGCAGCAGCGGTCCTAACAACCCCCCCCAAGCACTCCACCCTCCACCGCCGCCTCCCACCGCATCTGCCCGCACCTCCCCAATCTCCACTCTCGGCCCCTACAAATAACCCTCCAGCCCCCCGGGTGTCCATCCACGCCACAGCGCCAATTGCTCTCGAGCACCCAAACCCTCACTTTCTACGGTTCCTACGCTTCACACGGAAACAATTTACCCCACCACCACCCCCAAATAAAACACACACACATATATATATAACCGCACGCAACAATGGCCTCCATCAGAACCCTCGCTCTCGCCGCCGCCGCACGCCCCTCCCGCCCCCTCCTGCAGCGCACTGTCGCCCCCGCGGCCGCCACGCACCTCGCTGCCGTCAGGAACTATGCGACGGCCCGCTCGCCCATCCCGGGCTACCGTATCGGGCGGGCGCAGACCTGGGAGGAGGGCGAGAGTTCGCTGGATAAGGCGGCGAAATTCTTCCTCATGTCGGAGATGGTGAGGGGAATGTATGTGGTGCTGGAACAGTTCTTTAGGCCTCCGTAAGCTGCCCCTCTTCGAGAATATTGAGAATGTTGTGTAGTTTGAGTGTGGGATGGGAGTAGAGTGTTAATGGGTGGGGATGCAATAGGTACACTATCATGTACCCCTTCGAGAAGGGTCCCATCTCGCCCCGGTTCCGTGGTGAGCATGCGCTCAGACGGTACCCCTCTGGCGAGGAGCGCTGCATTGCGTGCAAGTTGTGCGAAGCTGTAAGTGGCCCACGCATTCGAGACACACATATATCTGGTTATGGTGTTTCTCGCCGGATCTGGCAGATATATCATTCACCCTTCCTTGCCACCCCGAATTTGAATTATGTTGTGGAAATAGTATACTAGCAGCGGGCTAACACAAACACACATCCCAGGTGTGCCCAGCTCTGGCCATCACCATCGAGGCCGAGGAGCGTGAGGATGGCAGCAGGAGGACAACCCGCTATGATATCGACATGACCAAGTGCATCTACTGCGGTTTCTGCCAGGGTATGTCTAGCAACACTATTTCTGGGCCCTGTTTGGGAATTTATATTGATGTTGATATAAATGTGCAGAGTCTTGCCCCGTCGACGCCATTGTCGAGTCCCCCAATGCCGAGTACGCCACCGAGACCAGGGAGGAGCTGCTGTACAACAAGGAGAAGCTGTTGGCAAACGGTGATAAGTATGATTGACCCTCTCCCTTCACCCAACCCTGAGATACTAATAACGATACTTTAGGTGGGAACCCGAGCTTGCCGCAGCTATCAGAGCCGACTCCCCGTACAGATAAGCTGTACAAAGACAATTTTTGTTCCGGGGGTTGGTGGGGAGGGGGGGCTATCTTTCTAACCCCCTCCGTTTCTCTCTCTCTCTCGCTTTCTATGTGGATAAATAAATTAACCAGCTCTCTCTCTCTCTCTCTCTCTCACTATCAATCGTTCTGCCATCCATCCATCCCATCCCATCACATCCTTGCCTTACCTTGCTTTGCAATTGAACAAAAAAAGGAGAGCGGTACATATATCTAGCACGTCTTTTTTTTTTTGAGGTTTTTATTTTTGTTTATTTTGTTCTTGTTCCTTGTTTCTTAATCAGTTTGTAGATACAGTTTTCAATCAACCCAGCCTACATATAGCCCCCCAACATATCTAATCGGAAAGCAGTGCATTTCAATGGGGGTTCTGAAAACGAATGGAGATGGATAAAATAAGAGAGGGGCGAGTACTTAGTATACAAGTTAGACCTTTTTTTTTTTTCTTTCTTTTCCTTTCTGCATCCCTATAATACCTACTTGAAGCACCAGGATGCAATTGAAGCTACCACCACCACCTGATACAAAACATGCAAATATGCAAAAAAAAAAAGAGAGAAAAATACAATAAAAAAAAAGAATGATGAAAAAACAGCAAAAGAACTCCATCCCATTTTTGTTCCCGCCACAAGCTTCACCTAATATCCTACCTACTATACACACACACTTATCTATATACACCCCCCCCCCCCCCCCTTTCTTCCTCCCCTCCACCCACTACACCCCCATACTCCTCAACGCCTCCTCAATATTCCCCCACGCAGGCCTCGGCTTCTCCCACACCTCGACCCGTCCCCTCAGCCCGTCCACGACGTCCCCATTCCCCTCACTAAACAGCTCATGCGTCCACATGCCATTAGTATCGACCTTGGCCACATCCTGCATGATCTCCCTAATCGTCTGCAGCGTCTTCGAGTTCCCCTGGATCCCATTCGTGTCCATCTCGTCCACCAGGTCCTTGACCTTATACAGATCCCGCGTGCCCTCCCACTTGGCCGCAATCACCTGGTTGTACACGTCCACGCTGCAGCCCACCACATACGACTCGGCGCCCAGCGTCTTGATCTTGTTGAAGATCGAGAACACGCCCTGCAGGTCGTTGAACGTGCTCCTTAGTATCCTCATCCCCTCCGCAAGCAGGTACGAATACGTCCCCGGCGGGAACGCCCGCTTCTCGGCGCCCCCGCCGCCGACCATGGAGAACACATGCGTCTCCATCCAGCTCCCCAGCTCCAGGTCCGTCTCGCACCGGTTCATCTCCAATATCTTATCGCCCAGCTGCTCCTTGATCTCCTCCATCTCCCTCGACGTCCACACGCTCCCCACCACGCCCGCCGCCTTCGCCGCCGCCGCGCGCACCGCAGGACTAAACTCCTCAAAGTTGCTCGCCAGCGCCAGCCTTGCAATCATGCTATCCCTATCCACACCCTCTCTCGGGCCGAACGAGATCTCGTGGCGGTGCTGCTGCGGGCCCACGGCGGACTCAAAGAGCGCGTTCAGCGACGGGCTGGGGAAGGGCGCGCCGTTGGGCTGCGGCGCGAAGACGGTCTTGGAGGACAGGATCTGCTCGAAGATTTCCTTGAAGACGAGGCGCTCGCGCTCGCAGAGGGTCATGGGGTCCATGAGCTGCTTTGGGTTTGAGTTTGGGAGGGCGCGCGGCGCGGTGAAGGGGTTGGTGGTGAAGGGGTTTGAGGTGCGGGTGAGCGGGGAGAGGGAGGAGGGGTGGCGGTAGGAGGGTACGATGTAGGGTGTCTGGTGCGGCCGCTTGGGGTGCGCGCCTTGCAGGAAGGCCCAGGGGTCCTCGCGGGGGGGCGGGGGGTGCGAGAGGTCGAGGGGGATGTCGTCGTCGGCGGTGGAGGGGGAGGGGGACGGGCTGGTGAGGTGGGTGAAGGGGCGGGTGGGTGGCAATGGCAATGGCAATGGCAATGGCAATGGGGGGAGGGCAGCGGTGAGGTGGAGGGGCCTGCGGGCGGTGAGCAGGAGGGGCCGCTGCTTAAGGAGGCATGAACTCATTGCGGGCTGCTGCTGCTGCTGCTGCTGTGCGGCGTGAATTGGCTGTGCAGTTGGAGAGAGCGAGAACAGCTGTGGTTCGGAATCGTGATATTTTTTCCAACGTCGCAACGCTAGCGCCACGGTGGTGGGGTGCGTGAGGCTCAACGCTGCACGGTGGCGGTGGCGGTGGCGGGTGCAGCTACACACACACACAGCTGTGGCCGTGCAGCCCGTGTTTCTAGAACGTCGTTTCATGCGGCACGGCCATTCAAGCTGTGGACTGTGGACTGTGATTTGTGATTTGCAGTGTGCTTTCATGTGCTCTGAATATCGCGTGTACGAGACTTCAATGGCGGCAAGACGGAGCAGGATTCCCGAAAGTGCTGGTTCGTGTGTCGCTGTGCTCTTCTTACAGTGTTGTCGTCCCTCGTCACGCGCGCGTAAAGAGCACTGCTCAACACCACGCAGGGGATCGCGTCGCCCCGGGAATCAGCCAGAGCGAACATTTCCCCAACGCACCCACCATCCACAACACCGCCCCCAAAAAAACCCCATAATCACGAGTAAACCAATTAAAATAATAGATACATAATAAATAATAAGCACCACATCCACCCACATCCACCCACATCCACATCCACATCCACATCCACATCCACAATGAAGCCCGACCCCGACGCCGCCGCCGAAGAAAACGCCTACGAGCTCCTCCGGCAGCAAAACATCCTCAAGAACAAAGCCCTCCTGCAACAACTCTCCCTCGACGCCGCCAGCGTCTCCGCCAGCCGCCCCCCCAAACCCTCCTCCTCCTCCACGCCCGCCTCCTCCTCCACCCGAAAGCGCGCCCCGCGCAAGCCCGCCGCCGAATCCACGCTCCCGCGGCGCACGTCCAGCCGCCTGGCGGGCCTGCCCGCGGACTCCGAGGCCGCGAAGCGCAAGGCCGAGGACGACGATGCGGCGCTGAGCGCCAGTCTGCTGGAGAATGCGGCGAAGCGCATGAGGGTGCCTGGGGACCTGAGCTTTGAGCTGAAGAAGGGCTTGCTGGATGATGGCGGGGCGAGGGGGGCCCGGGGGAGGACGTTTACGGAGGAGGATGTGAAGGGGACGACGGACAAGGATCTGAGGAGTATGAGGGAGAAGATGAGTGCGCTGAAGCTGTATGATCGGTTTGAGGTCAATGGTGTGTTCCCTCTTCCTCCCCCGTGAAGTGGATTGGAGTGGCTTGGAGTGGATTGGAGTGGAATGGACTGACAGCGGTGATGGTGCGGCGGCAGACATCAAAATCACCCCCGAGCGCATCTACGCCCTCGCCTTCCACCCCACCACCACCAAGCAGCTCCTCTTCGCCACCGACAAGACCGGCAACCTCGGCATCTTCGACGCCACCTCCACCAACCCCACCCCCGACATCTCGACCTACAAACTGCACGCGCGCACCATCTCCGCCTTCACCATCCCCGCCGCCTCCCCCACCACCCTCTTCACCGCCTCCTACGACGGCAGCATCCGGTCCTTCAACCTCACCACCGGCGTCGCCACCGAAGTCCACGCCGGCGACGACGACGACGACGACGACGCCCTCTCCGCCATCGACCTCGCCGACCCCCACACCATCTACTTCACGACCCTCCTCGGCCGCCTCGGCCGCGTCGACACCCGCGCGCGCGGCGCAGAGCAGTGGACCCTCAGCGAGAAGAAGATCGGCGGCTTCGGGCTGCACCCGCGCGCGCCGCACCTGTGCGCCACGGGGTCGCTGGACCGCACGGTGAAGCTGTGGGACCTGCGGCGGATGGTGGGGGAGGGGGAGGGGCGCGCGCCGGCGCTGCTGGCGAGCCACACCAGTCGGCTGAGTGTGAGCTGTGCGCTGTGGAACAGTAATGGGACCTTGGCGACGACGTCGTATGATGATACGGTCAAGCTGTACAAGTTCCCCGACGCGCACACGTGGGCGGCGCCGCCGGCGGCGAGGGGGAAGGGGAAGGAGAAGGAGGCGGAGGTGAAGGAGATCGAGCCGGCGCATGTGATACGGCACAATAACCAGACTGGCCGGTAAGCCCATTTCCAAACAACCCCCCTTTCGCAATACCTCCCTTCCGCCACACATTGACTAACACCCCCCGCCCCCCCCACCGCCAGATGGGTCACCATCCTGCGCGCCCAGTGGCAGCAGACGCCGCCGGGGGGCCAGCACAAGTTCGTCATCGCAAACATGAACCGCTACCTCGACATCTACAGCGAGTCCGGGGAGCAGCTCGCGCAGCTCAGCCACGAGAGCATCACCGCCGTGCCGGCCGTGGCCCAGTTCCACCCCACCATGGACTGGGTCGCGGGGGGCACCGGGAGTGGGAAGATTGTGCTCTTCAGTTGAGGGTGGGTTAGGGTTTAGGGGGGCGAGTGATGGGGGGTGATGGGCTGTGGTGGGCTGTGGGTGGTGGGGTGTATGATGAGAGGATGGGGTATTGGGGATGGGGTGCGGTGGGGTTGGGGGATAGGGGGCATAGAGGGGGAGGGGCCAAGGGGGGCTGTATTATTATTAGAGGAAAAAGTTGTAGAAATAGATAGATGTAGAGTATGTAAGCTAGTAATATCACAGCATTATGATTTCCAGACCACATGCAATTGTAAGTGTCTACCTGTAGTACTTCCGCAACACTGCAGTGTCTGATCAATTGAATACCCACCTGCATCAATTGCAAGTTAATCAGAAGTAGTAGTAGTAGTAGTAGTAGTAGTAGTAGTAGCTGCACCCACGTTCTGTGGCCTCAGCTAATTCTACAGATGTGCATTTGTAAGGATATACAATATTTATATCCAGACGTAAACCCTTTTGTTCTGCGCCCACACAAATGCCGTACGTAAATACCAACCACATACACATCCTTTTATGTGTCCTATTAAAGGAGGCCATGCCGATGATCAAAGTCAGTCACTCACTGACTAGAGTACATGTAGGCCCCACATGAATCACCCATCCATCCATCCATCCATCCATCCATCCATCCATCCATACCGCCATTCCACCCACCCACACGCCCGCCCACCGGTACTTATTAACTCGCCCACTGCACACCAGATCCCAGATCCATGTCACGCAGCAGCAGCAGCAGCAGCAGCAGCAGCAGCTGGCCTCTTGGCAGCCAGGAATAACTCAAGTACTTAAGGTTAACCCGTTACTGTCGTTACACACTCACACTCACCCTACCTGCTTTCCACTTTCCACTTTTCCACTTGCTCTACCTACTTTGCTCTAATCTAGATAACCGCTCCCCCGGACCGGAACAGACGCGACTCACTTTGGGGAAGAGTCTTTTTTTTTCTTTCTTCTCTCTACGCGTGTTCTCCCATCACGCACTACATACATACATACCTATACCTATTACTTATACATACCTATCTATCTACATCTACATCTACTACTTACCACCCTCCTGTCCTTTCCTTCTGGAAATATATTTTCCACAACCTTAACCACCACCGCCGCCGCCCCAGAAACTAAAACTAAAACCTCCTTACCTACCATACATACCCACCCCCCCCCCCCCCCGGGATTAACGATCCAGCAACAACAACAACAACGCGCTCTACCAATAATAGAATATACTAAACTACTATTCTCAATCAATTTTCTCTCTCTCATCCTACCACCCACCGCCCCCATCCCCACCATATCCCACCGCACAACTGCTCCAACCCACCTATAATCCGGATAGATAGATAGATAGCCAGACACAGTATATCACTCAGCAATGGCTGCAACTACCCTGATGTCTCCGCCGCCTCAACAACCCTTGACAGAACTGGGGAGCGCGAACATGATGGATATGGATTTGGAGTTGGCAGCAACAACGCCCCAAGAAAAACCCACAAAAAAACGTAAATCGGAGCTCAATGGCGAGGCCTCAAAGAAAAAGAAGCGCGAGACTGTGCCTGGCACCCCGAGCAGTAAACATTGCCACCAGTGTCACCAGACTAGGGATGTATTCCTGGAGTGTACATATCTAACCACTCGGGGAAAGAAAACTGACAGATGCGGGAAGCTGTTTTGGTATGTGCCATCCAAATATCATGACGGAGATACTCAACCCACCCCCCCTCCCCGCCCAGCATGCCGTTCATCCTTTCCTCCAGTAATCTCGGGATAATCTAGTGACCTGTACTGATATGTACCCGCCCCCCCCCCCCCCCGTATATAGTCAAGATTGTTTAAAACGGCGATATGATGAGGATACGACAGCAATTCTTGCGGCAGGCCGCCCAAAGGACTTTAATAAATTACTCGGCCATGTTCACACAGAGCCATATGTCTGGCTCTGCCCAATTTGTCGCAAGATTTGTAACTGTGCGCCACATCGGAAGCAGTATGGCCTCCCCCCAGCGGGCTTCTTAACCTCCTTTGCGAAGGAGCAAGGACAGTCGGTCGCACAATTACTGCAGGACCCGAATGCTGTGGAGGCGGCCAGGCTCGCAAAGGAGAAGCGAGATGCTGCGAGAAAGGAGAAGGGGAAGGCGCCGGGCAAGGACAAAGATAAAGAAGTTGCGGATGGCGGCGCCGAGAAGGAGAAGAAGGAAAAGAAGGAAAAGAAGGATACGGAAAAGAAGAAACCGGCAGAAAAAAAGGAAAAGGTGGATAAGTCTGCAACGGAGAAGGGAAAGGATAAGGTGGCCAGCAACCCAATCCCCAAACCCTCAAAATCAGCGTTGGAGAAGAAAAAGGATGATAAGCCAAAAATGTTGGCGTCAGCAGCTCCTGTGGTGATCAAGCCTTTTGTGAAACAACCTAAATATGTCTCGGATCCCGAGTTCGAGTTTATTGGAATTTCATACCCCCTGGAAGTAATTGAAAAAAGACTGTGAGCTTAAACCCCCCCGGATTTCGTCATAGCAGCCCGGTAGATGAATCCAGCTAATCCACATCATTGCAGCCGTGTTCGCGAATTCCTTCTTCGTTTCGAGAAGTTGATGTATAAGCTCCCCCCAAAATACTTTCGTACAATCAATGATCCCAATTCAGAATGGACGGATCTCACATACCGTAACCTCATTACCAACTTGCTTGCTATAGTTCAAGCCGATGCAAACCAATTCATGAACGGAGATATGGTCTATGAGGCTATTGACAACGTAAAAAAGGTCACCGCTGACTCTCCGGACGTCTGGAATATCTTGAAAAACTTACTGGAGACGGTATATGAGGCTGAGGACTTGAAAATTGACTGTACTGAGGAGGATGGTAAACTAAATGTGATTATGCTAGTAATGCACTTGGCATTACAGTCTAGTATTATTAGAGCAATGATTGAGGACGACGGAGAAAAGGAAAGGGAAAGGCACAAGTCGTCAATTGCCCAAATAAAAAGATTAAAGTCTGGTATGTTTGTATATGGTGGCGGGGGTGCCGGAATATAAGACTAACTTTGAGTACAGATTGGGAACAGACAAGGGGCGAATTGCAGAAGGAGCGGCTGCTTCTCAAGCCCGGTGATCGGACAGACTGGGATGACCGCTATGCAAGTGCTTTCAATGCGCACAAGAAGCTCGTAGCTCGTGTTGAGGAGAAAGAATGGTAAACTTTATCAGGCCCCTTATGAAGAAAACGAATAAAAACCTAACCGTCTGCCCATCGTAGGTTCTCTTCCCGAAAAACGTCGGTTAGAAATATCCCCCTGGGAATCGATATCAAGGGTAATACCTATTGGCTATTTACCCAGCGTGACAAGCGTGAAGAAGATTGGGGACAATGGATTGTCGTCCAGAAAAACCCTACGCTTCCCCACCCATCTGGCACCTTACCACCATCCGATGAGCCCGCAAACCCACTTGACGATGATTCCTCCCTCCCTGACGCCCCCGAAGAGGATGATGAGGAAATTGCAAAAGCACGGATATGGTATGCCGTCGAGGGTGCCAGTAACATTCGACATCTTGCGAAGTGGATCAGGTATCAAACCGATTTATACTTTTTCAAAAAGGTCAGTGAAAGCTCAGCATTCGCTGCAACCCCGCCAGACACCCCGAGAAAGAAGAAGAAGGAAGAGATCATGCCAGATACACCTAGTAGACAGCTCATGGTGGAGGTCCGCATGCCGCATCGGGCCGCAAGCCCTAAGCTGAGACCCGAGGAACTCGTCACAAAGGAAAACACCGAGGCCTTCTATTCACAACTGCTGAAAATCGCAGGATTCATGGAACTGAACGGAGAAAGCGAGAAGTTGATTTGATTTTGTGGATGAACTTCAGGTCAATAGTTCATTTCTTTTTTTTCTCTTTTTCTCTTTTTTTTTTCCCCTCCGTTCTTCCCCCCTTTCCTTTGGTTTCAATTGATCATAAACATTTTTACTACATTACACTTCTAGCTTCATGATAAACTGTACTAACACATTTCTTGTCCATCCCCTGTTTAAACTTGAGTTTTTTTTTTGGTTTTGGTTTTGGTTTTTATTCTTTCTGCGTGTAAATCGCTCTGTATCATCATGTATCGCCACATTCTTTACCTTAAATTCTAAAGATGAGCTTTATTTGCACAAAGGCAGATTTGAAAAAACAATTGCTTTGGTATATTTTCTGTTGATAGATTACTATCCCTCCTCTCTTGGTAAGTTGAGCTTTTCACAAACCTTCCTATTTAGAGGACAACGGGTGTCTATCTGTCATGGATTTTTCAGTTTGAGAGTCTACATGCCCAGGATGGGATGTTGAAAGGTTGAAATCAACCGGTGCAAAAAAAAAAAAAAATTGAAAAAAAAAAGAACTCAATTACTAAGGTAGAGGTAAGAGGGGGAAAAAAAAAAAAGAGCGGCGTTTTCCAACAGAATCCACGCTTCGCAATATGATCTATGAGACATTATTCGTAGAGTTCAGTCATAAAGGACATGTCTTGGGCATTAAAGGGCCGCGAGAAACCTCCGTGGTGACCCCTTCCGCCTCCCCCACCACCCCGCCCACCCCGTCCCTTACCTCTATGACCCCTTCCGCTACGATTGGAACCGCTGTGGCGACTGGGTACCCCACGCCTTGATTGATGGTGGAATGATCTATAGCTATCGGCTTTATATTTGAAATCTTCGCCCGAATTAAGCTCCTAAAATGTAAGTTTTCATGCAAAAAAAAAGTTGGGGAATATTTATAATTTTGTGTGGATGTGTCCGTTATCTCGGTGGCTGCTGGGCCCCTAGGTTCCAATTCCAACTGGGAAAAGAGCGATTTCTACTCGCCTTCTGGAGTGTTCTCCTCGATTCGAAGTAGCAATTTTTCTCCGACAATTGTGCTTATCCTTAGCACCTGATCTTCGGGGAGTGGCTGCCAGTTTGTGATCTTTTGGGCATCGGCGGGTCTAGCATCCCAGCCGCGTAAAGCCAAAACGATGATTGGTGTTGAACTCTCTGGCATATGTAGTTTAGTATCGGATATCCACACAGGAATAGGCTGAGGCATACCAGTATAGATCGGTATATCACGATCAGAAGGTCTTACACGCGCAGCCCATACTTTATTTTCCCAATATCCCCACTCAAAAACATCGAAATCGACTTTGTTACCTATTCCTCCAACTCTTGAAAGAATTTGTTGATTTGCTGGCCTGGGTGTGATAAGGATATTATTGGCCAGAAATTTCATTCCCGGCTCGTTGGCAAGAGGTAGATTTTTTAGTAGGTTTGATGTTGTAGACGGCGATAGGAGATAACCTTAGCCCGAAGATAAAGAAATGGATTATTTTAGCAATCATATCAAGATGGCGGGTTACTAGACTCACCTGTATAAAAGACATTCTTCTTGATCTGTAGGGGGGGAACGCCTGGCTCCAAGGCGGTATTGTGATCGTCAATGACTTTTTGCGTAATGGTAAGCTCGGCTACGGGGTCCAGCGTTTTCTATAAGATAGAAGGCCACTCTCATTAATATCAATATCTCTCGAGGACGGTGAGGGCAGCAGTTACAGCTATTTCGGCAACTTGGATCACTTCCGCGACTAACGGCTTCTCCCCAGGGCTCCTTGGGCTTGTCAATATATATTGAGCGAAGAATTCCTCAAAAGATCTAACGTGTTTTACTCTATCTTCATAAACTCTTAAATTGTTAATTTCCCCTCAAAGGGAAGGCTAGTGTTAGCCAGATGAGGAGTATGATCCGTCTAGGAATTTGGTTTACCTAATCTCTTCGACACCGTGGTATGTATTGAGAACATCTTCCAAGAACATACACTTGAAAAGTATTGTGCTTCTGATATGTTCCAAATTTGGACCAGTTTCTGGTTTGAGAGCAATCATGTCGAAATTCAGCCTTTTACTTGCGACCATTCGTTGGATAAGATCTGAAAAGCCGCTGACTGAACGGCCGGTAAGTAAAATTGTGAGAGCGTCATTTTGTTTTCTTGAAAGCTCTACAAGATCGACAATTGGTTCGTTCCACCAGCCTTCCCATGCAAGATCCTCTTCAATCAAGAGACCTTTGCCTGTGGCAGCCAGGAAACGTGAATCGTGCCACCATCCTAAGAAATGGGTTAATGAATATTCTTTGAAGTTTCTCTCCGGACCAAAGAGGTGTTCTTTTTTTCTTTTTCTTTTTTTACTGTGAAATTTGGTTTCAAACCTCCACTCATGAAGCACTCTTGCTGCTGCAAAAGACCAAGTGTGGGCGAGGTCCATATTCTTGTATTCGGGAGCGGGCTCATGAACACTGCGGGGCTTGTATTAAAGAACATTAGCTACCTGTTTCGCCGTGCCATGTAAAGAGAAGGAAAGACTCATTACGTGTGTTATCAAAATCATAGACATGGACGGTCTTGATGGTGTCTGGTCTGGGTAGCGACCTATTCTGAATACTCCAACGGGAAAGATTACTGAGGGTATGCTCAGAGGTTCTGCTGAAACCAACCATCGCACGGCTCCCATTGATAGCTGGTCCAGCTTGGGGATTCCTCATGGTATACATGGAAGAAGCCGTTGGTATGTAAGTTTTGGCCTTCGGGAGATGATAGGGCATGAAGATAGCTAGACGCGTTGTCTGGATATTTTGCACGTGGGTACGTACATACATGACTACCACTATGGTAACTAGCCAAGGGATCGTTCCGCAGAGCCGCCATCTTCTAGAATGAAAGTTTACAATTCTGCGACTTGAAGAATACCACACTTTATATTTTTCTTAACACCTGCTTAACCTTTAAACCTTCAGCTGAACACTAAATCAGGAAACCGCATACACTGGGCGATTATACAGAATACGGATAAAGTGAGTTCGGTGTAAATCCTGGCGGAATAGATAAAATCACTATAATTTCAAACTGCTTGCCACAAAAAAAAAATAGATTGTACCTCATCAATCATGTCCATGCTAGCAGAATGAAATCAAGACACCACCGAATACCAATGACCAATGAGATAAGAACGAAGAGAAAATAGATGCAAAAACGACACAAGAGAATCCAGACCCTAAAAGAAGAGAAGAGAAAAGAGAAATAAGCGAGGAAACCAATGGTTCCCACATGTTATTATCACGCTTTATGAAATCGTGCTTTGATTCAGAAGTAGAAAAATCAGAATATAATACGAAGAAACAATCGAGATGTTTCAAGGTATCATTCCTAGCTCTATCCGGAGAAGAAAAATAAATGTTATTATTTCAGATCAACAGAGAATTTCCACCTAATTGCCGAATTAGTCTTACTATTATTCTCTTGAAAGCTCAGGAAGGGAATTTACTCTTCCGCCGCCAAGCTTTTAGCGGTGTAGTCAAGCAGGATCATGCGCCTACTCTTGACGTATGCCGTCTTGTCAAGCATATCATTTTTGGCGGTTGAAAGTTGATCTGTCGGCTTCTCAAAGAGCTCACTTAAATGTTCAACGGCCATTTCCAAATCTTTCTGATTATCCTCGAAGATGTAGGTGTGGTTGTTTCTTTCAAGGTAAAACGCAAAAGCATAGGTCCATTTTAGGGTTTGACGGCACTGTTGGAGAACTTTGGATGCTGCTTCAAGATATTGAACTTCGATCCATGACATTCCAGAAGAAGACTGGAGTGTTGTCATTTTCTTTTCCGTCTTAACATAAAGATCCTTGTCTAGCTTCGCTGAAAGATCGTGGTTGGCATAGCGATTGTAGTACTAATTATGGAGTTAGTCTATCACACTGGACCGCTAAAACCAAAGCACTAATTAGAGCTTACATGAAGATATCGCTCTAATGAAGCACGTGATTTTGCTTGTTGGTCACGGGCTTCCGAGCCGCTCTTTTCCTCAAATCGATTGCAGTTGTACCAGCTCGTTCCGTGTTCTGCCCAGGGCCCCATACAGACCCAACAAAATTCGTGCTTACATTTTCGACTGTATTTTGAGATTTGTTAGCTGTGAAGTGGCGTTGAGGTTCGATGAGCTCACCAGGTCATGTGATTACATCCTCCGTTCTTCTCAATCGTGGAGACACATTTGGGACACTCTTTAGTGTTTGCAGATATCCAGTTCGCAGTCTCCGAATCATCCTCACACTTCTTCAACCACTTTTTGACAAGTGCGCAGGGACAGGGCTGATGTTCGGAAAATCCGCACCCAAAGCAAAAATTATGGCCACATCGACAGTTGACAGACGGAACTATAGTGTGAAGCTGGACCGGTCGTATTGCGCAGTCCACAGCGTATTCGCAGTTGGGCGCTGGGCACCAACGTAGGTTGGGCTTATCATCTACATATGTCCTATTCAATAGCTCCTTATATCTATAACCTCGTGAGCCAATGTTCGACCCGAAAGCGTAGAAATAAGCTTCATGAAGTAAACGAACCTTTTATCTATCTCTACGGGAACCAATAGGTCTACCGTCTTTGAGTCCACTATCATGGAGCAACCCTCGGATGGGCACTGTATACGAGTTGCCTCCCCTTCGTCCTTTATTTTTGATTCCAGATACTGCCGGTAACAGTTCACACAATACCGATGGTTGCATCTCATCGCGTAAGTATCTAGCCCAACTTCATCGTCACAACAAATATCACACACGAAGCCCTGGACCGTCTCTAGCTTTGGTGGTGTGTCGTAACTTGGACCCAGACCAGCTTCTTCAAGTACTTCCTCACCACTGTCCATGTATTTCTCAATAAGGCGGTCCTTCTGCCATTTGAAGTGGCGTAACAAAATTGCGACCTGTTCCCCAGGTAGTCCGAGTATGCTTGCTACCTCCTCGACCTGGTTTTGCTGGCTCTTCCGAATTTGATCATCAGAGTATACTTTAAATTCAACCTCGTAGGACCTTTTCGTTGGTTTTTCCTCTTTCCCTTCATCAATGTATTCACCGCCATCTTCCTCATAATCTGTGCAACAAAAGGTTAAGTCAGCCCTGAGAGCCATAGTGATCTTATAACCCGAAAGCTATTATCCGTCGCATACCTAGCTCGCCTAAGCTATCCTCGTCGTCGTCACCGTACGCATCAGACATCTGGTCAGACATAAGCTCATCGTCGCTGGACATTGTATAGGACGCAGTGGGAGTCGATGGGCCGATAAGATTTAATCGTTTTGAGGCCGGGCTGGAGTCCGGTTCAGTCTGCTCTGCTGCCTTCCGTTTTTTAGCGGAGGCAACCGTTGTGATGACTAAATGGGCAGAGGCTCGTTGCTTGGATCTCTGGCCAAACAACGACACCACTTATATCTGCACGGAATAGCACGGAAGAAGTGGAAGGGAGGCACGTAGGAGGGGTAAGCGAGTAAGTAGTAAAACCGATGGGAAAGGGGGATGTTGAGAGAGAGTAATGAGGTGGAGATTCAGAAGTGAGGAGGGGTGTGTAAAGTGGATGGGATGAGATGGAAGAGGGGAAAAATCGGGGCACAAGGAGGAAGGGGGGGGGGGGGGGGGTAAGAGTAGATAGTAGAGTAATGAGGTTCGGATCCTGAAAGAGCACCGTACAGCAACGAGGAGGAGGAGGAGGAGCGACAGCAATTGCTACCTACACTTCTGGTTGTGGCTGTGGAGGCTGCAGCTGCAGCTGCCTACAACACACCTGGGCATTATGTGGCTTACGGTAGAATGACTCTGAACATGCATACATAGTACTGTAGACATGTGTTTAGCTAGGTACTCTGCATACCTACATGTACATACTATAGACGTTCGTTCCTGTGACTCATGTGAGTAGTAAGAAGTTACCAAGGGGCTTATATTTCCCAAGGTAGGGCAAACATGAGCATCCAACCAATATACTGCATTATCGTCATGAAACGTAATGTACAGAAAGAAATAAGGACTGAGGTAAAAATGGGGGGAAAAAAAGTGTTGTAGCCTCGCCATGGAATGTTTTCCAGACTCATCATCGACATTGGAAGCACTTGTGCAGGCGCTCTCTATTCAGGCCCTAACACCAAAGAAACGACACCTAACCCCGTACAAACAATAAATAGTATGAAAAGAAAAATTACATGTACAGATGCAGGAGTAATATCTAGCCCGAAGGGAATCTCGTCGATCACGAAGGATTGTAATAAAGTTGGGAATTGCACACTTGCCAACGTTTTGGTAAACTCCCCCAAAACTTGAAAGAAAAGACAGAATCCAAGACACTAGTAGTCAAAAATAAACAGAATGAAATGAGATAAAAACCACCCACGCCATATCCGATCCCAGAAAAGCATCCCATCAAATTAAGTGAGTATATGCTGCAAAATAAACAAAAGAACAAAACAAAGCTGAATCGATTCTACGAAATCAACTGAGTCGCGGTTTTAACTAAACAAAGGCGGGTGGCGAGTTGACGAATAGTGAATAGGTTTCATGGCAGGTACCGTGCCTTTTTTATATCAATTCCGCCTAGATGAGATGGATGATCATCCATCTCAGAAGCCCCACGCCGAAGGCCACGTGAAGAATTGGCTGGCGAGGAGTAGTTGCTTGCTTGGTCGTGAGTATTATTATTGTCCACATATGGGCCCATCATGTTGAGGTATGAGTTGTCTAAGGCAGATGCCGCTTCTCCGATCGGGTCTTCATCAATATCGTTAGGCGAGCGCCCATATATGGCAAGGTTAGGGGATTTAGAGGGTGAATGAGAGTATTTCAATGAGTTTGTCGGTTTAACCAATGGCCCGCCGTTATCATTGTCAGGTCCGTTGAAGCTCAACTGATGCGGGATTTGCCCCGTATTTTTGTTTACTTTAAGATGACTTAGGCATCTTTCCAGCAGTTTCAATAGTCCCTCTTTTGTGAAAGGTTTTGGCAAGACATCATTCATACCTAAAGAGTCAACCAATTTTTTCACTATAGTTCTGGGCGGAGTTCGAACTTACCATTGCTAAAATAAGACTGTATATCGTCACGTCGAATGTTCGATGTCATGGCGATGATAGGTGTATCTTTGTCAAATTGTCTGATTAATGCAGCTGCTGATACCCCGTCCAAAAGTGGCATGACAATATCCATGAGCACTAAATCATATTTATTGCTACCAAGCTTCTTTACGGCGCCTAACCCATCAGTCTGAATTGGTTGTCAGCTTTTCAATCATTGTAATAATGTAGCGAGAACATAAGGTCTTGATAATGACTGAAATAGTAAGAGCCTGTCTCGACTGAGAGCTTGATCTTCATAAAACCGTCAAGAAAAACCATCTATGATTGGTAGCAAAAGGTGGGAGAATCTGACCGCCATATCAACCCCGCACTGTGCAGTTTGAAGAAACTTGGTTCCAATCCGTGCGCATGTGGGATCATCTTCGACCAGCAGAACCCTGGGAGGGGTAGCCCAATTGGTGACGAATGATGAGCTCTTTTTACGACCGGCATTTGGTCTTGCAGATGAATTTAATGTCCCATTTTCGGGGTTAGGAGCAGTAATGGGAAATGTGATATTCCCCACCTGCCCACTCCCGTAAACATCGCTCATTCCAGATGACGCCCCTATGTTGTACATATGATTCCCGTCAGGCCCTACACTTTGGATACCTCCATTCTGCATTGAATTCGACCGATGGCCATTTTGTAGATGTCGACCCAGCTGACTATAATCTTCATAACCACCAACAGACTCTGGTTGGTTAGGCTGCCCAATATCACTCATGTTCTGTAAAGAGGAGTTTCCCTTTGTAATTTCCGCAAAACTGCTCATGAGTCTCTGCGCCTGTTGCAATGGAGTCGACGAGCCATTCTGGTCATTTGACGAAGTGGCCGGTGCACCGAACCCTGTGTTACCACCGGTAGGTGAAACAACCTCCGAATGTTCCCCATCCCGTTTCCCACCCACTCCTCTTAACTCTTTGATCTCTGCATCCATCTTCCACAGAAACTGTATCAGTTTGTGTAAATATGAATCATGTGAATGTATCATATGCTGATGGGCTTGAAGCATTTCCTTCGTATTTTGCAGCTCTCGCACGACTGCATGGTTCTCGCTGGTCAAGCTTTGTACCCTGGCATCCATTAAGCTCTGTGACTTTAGAAGATCCCGAACCTGGCTTTGTAGTACTTCAATTTGCTGCAAGCCAGCCTCATCACCCTGTGATTGCTGCTTCCGTGGAGCAGGTGCTTTCCTCCTAATGTTGTCAAGATTGTCTTTATTATGTTTCTGGAAGTCCGGATGTTTAAACTCCCAAGCCTATTTAAAGTTATAACCGATCCAGGACGCTCTTGTCAAAACACAAGGATATAATAAAAACCTGATGCTGATTTCCTCCACCCCCCGCATCGTAATTTCGAATCTTGTGAAAGTCATATCTGTCGAAATATCAGTGCTGTGCCTTGGTTATCCAACATAAAGTGGAGACCAACTTATTTAACTGTCTTACAAAACTAGCAAAATTGCAATGTTTAAAGTGGTTAGGCAGAATCTTTTTCGTGAAATCGTTCGTCTGTCCATAAAAACTGTTAGAGAAGCGTTCTAAAAAGTTCCGGGTGGCCATGTCACACATCAACCACAATAAAGCTATCGCCAGTCTCATTCCATCTAACTATATCCTTGTGCGAAGGGTCCTCAAGCATCCTGGGGGAAACGGTCTCATTAAGGTGTGCTCAAGCAATTGGAGGTCGAGACGTACTTGAAGAGTTTCCGGACCTAATAAATGAATTTATTAGAATACATCGTCTCGCTAGGATATGTACTAACATCCGCATTTACGATAGGAACAATCGCGGGAATTTTCCAAAACTCACAAAATCGCTACTGTTGGAAGATGCTCCTATCCCTCCGTCACCGCCGGCGGAATTGGCAGCATCCATTATAATGTATTTTGTGCGAGGAATGCCGGGAGGAAAGGTTCAAATCAGGGAGCTCAAAGTTTCTCCAAGAATCGACGAACTTAACGTCGAAGGGAGCTTGGTATTACACAGAGGTGCAGTGCCACAGAGCTGTAGTAGTAAAAATAAAAATCCAGAAGTCCGAATGAGGTAGTTATTGAGGATGTGAGTGATGACACAGGGAACAGGATCCCATCACAGCCTGTAAGTGGAGCAGAGGCGAATGGTGGGAGGAGAAAGGGTCGAGAACGAGTTACAGAAGGTTGAGGTAAACGATATTTGGGTCGGACGTAGTCTAGTAAGGTTTCTCTGGGGTGGGGGTAGGGTAAGAGAAAAGAGAAGCAGCAAGGAGGCGTCCGGTGGGGTGGGAAAGGAGACGGGTGGGTGTGTTGAAATAAGCCCAGGATGGGCGACAGAAGCGAAAGATACAGAGCGAGAGAGAGGAAGCCCAAGCCGCTAGTAAGAGCCAATACCAGTGCCAAGTACAAGTAGAGTACCTACTGTAGGTACACTATGTACATGTATGTAGTGGAGAGTTGCTAGAAATGATACCTATTCTGCTCTTTTTAATGACAAACATGGGCGTTCCTCACATGCAGTGGTATGAGCTGCAGAGTGGTACAGGCAGGTATTAGGTTGGTGCTAAGTACAGTTGGTTGTGTATTTTATCCTGGGCAGGAGAAAGAGGAGTAGGTACATGTACCTACACAACCTACAGATGCCTTCTTCTGCTGTGATTTCTGCTAAAGCCCATACACATGTAATGTGCTCTAGATGCCCCCCGATTAGGACTCGAGCGCCATGCCACCATAGAAGAAACATTATAGAGATCGTGAGGGCATGTTCTAATCATCTGGTTGGTCCACTTCGTATGATCCTAGGGAACTTATCATCTCAAATGTCGCGCCCCGGGATTTAAAAGACCAGACCGGGAACAGTCTCAGGGTATTCTGTTGCTATATGCAAGCCTACCGGTAGGATCATAATGTATTTACATGCACGGCCTTAACTACATGTAGAGCATTTAGTTGGATACATGTAGTACAGGTAGCCTTGCTTGGAACACGATGAAAACCACTGTGTAAAGAAAGAACTTAGAGTACTGTGTACATATTCGTCAAGAATTTCTATAAGTTGAAATACCGATATTCCACAGTATTGAGGAAATGGTGCGTATCATCGTCTCCAGTGTTCTTCCACTCTAGGTCTTCCGCTTGGACTCGTGCACAGACAGCATATCCCGCTGTGTTGGGTTTCTTTTTGCAACCCTTGCCTGCCTACCCGCCTAGGGTATCCACGAGACGAGGAAAAAAGAAACCATGGGAACATCGAGATGTGTTGAGCATTTATTCACCATACATCTTACAATTTACAGATTCTTTCTTGTCGAAAGCGTAGACCAAGGCAGGTGAAAAAAGTAACAATCATATCAAGCGCAAAACAATCTAATCGTAAGTGGGTCTTTTTGAGTGTTTTCATGTAGGTACTGTGCGAGCAGATACCATGTTCCAAGCTCGCAAAGTAAGACCTACGATATGAATCTCCGCGGTGTAGGCGCTACAGAACTTGTTGGATCGTTAGCCCATGACGGGAGCGGACCAAGTTGATCTATTGCCCCGGCTTCGTCCATCCCTTCCGTAAGTGTATGTACGCGACTCCTCAGGTCGCCGGCGGGTCCGATTCTGTAAGCAATTTCCCGTTCCATCAGCCGCCACTACAGTTGCAACTCGATATGCCGGATTGCCAAGATTCTAAGGATTTCGTACGGGATAGCAAAAAATCCGGGATAGCAAATTGATTTTGCAGTAGGAAAAATAATATTCTCAGAGGATCTCGTACGGGACAGCAAGGGATCCGGTGTATTGAGTTCCGGCATATCGAGTTGCGACTGTATTCAGATACGGCATGTTCCAGTCCCAAGTGGGTATAGGGTCATGTGACCTCTTATCGATAACTGCCATGTCAATGATGGTGGCTAATTGTTGACAGGATCAGCCACTGACTGATCTGGGTACCTACATGTACATTGGCCCAGACTGTAGGTACATACCTCTACTTCAGGGGCTAGATGCCTGAATCTATGGTACTCCTTACATCTAGATTTAGGGCCTGTTCGGTTGACACAGAAGTCCATAGATTAGGCTCAATAAAACAATTACCTCCAGAGGTGTTTTTTTTAGTCTAATCCAGGATTTTTGTGTCAACCGAACAGGCCCTTACTATTCTACGTGCTGTACTCAGGACTACATGTACCTACATGTTATGGCGCCCAGCGTCTGAAACCCACACCTCGCTCTGGTACTTGTGTATAAACTGCAAATTCCTAAGTAATTACAGTCGGATCTCCTTATAAGGGTAGCCTATATAAGGGTTCTCGCCTTATAGGGGTGCGAGTTGGCGGGCTATTTATTTTAGTATGTAAAATTAAGGGTAAATGACAGAATAACCTCTATCCCTTGGACGGATGAAAGTTGTCAAATTCGCGACCACACTCTTTCAGCTATCACTAGCCTAATATAGCAATTGTTGGAAATTCTTGATTGGTTCTGTTGTTGTTGCCAACCGTAAAAAGCAAGATAATTCCCTTACCAAGTGGTGCACGGTCCAGGTCGCGAATTTGACAACTTTGATCCGTCCAAGGGATAAAGATACCGTAAGGATAGAGGAGTTTCGATTGTATGCATTACCCTTATAGAAAATGTAGGATTAGGGGTTAATAAGGCCAATGACGGGGTAGTATTTTTTTTCTATGCCCGCTTCCCAAACAGTTCAATCAACCAAGAACCTTCAGATGTAATGAATCAGTGCTCTATTCCAACCAGCGCCGCCCCATCAGCAAAAAAAAAAAAAAAAAAATCACCGCTCCCCTTCTCTCCCCTCAACTCCACCATCCTAACCCTAACCCTCAACATCATAAGGGTTCCTTCCTTATAAGAGTACGACTTCGCGCCACTTTTGTACCCTTATCCCTTCGTCTGGCAAAAAATGCTGACCCCCTTAGAAAAAGCAAATTCTTCTGTGGCTTTACTAACAGATCTTGTTATCTCTCTTATCAAATAATAGATCTCCCATACAAATTTCATTCCTCTATTATAGGGTGGTCAGCATTGCCAGACTAAGGGATAGGGAGATCCGACTGTACCACGACTCAAATAATTATAATTGAAACAAAATCTATTTTCTCATGAAGTCAATCTGCCCCCAAGGGAATATAGTTCTTTTTTTCCTCCCTAAAAATATGACTTGCTTCTGAGGAGCTGCTAACTTCAATATTAACTGAATTCTAGTGTTCTCGGCGCCGAGACTCTGATTCATAGAGTTAATCAGGTGTGGGTGTTAGGCTCCGCCATATATATCCGCAGAATCTCAGGAATAGAAACGAACTGGGCTGGAATACTTACTCATTGGTCAAGACAACAAAAAGTTACGCTTTGGGTCAGTCGGATTGAGGCCCAACAAGCATTTGACCAATCTGAAGCCCAATATTCCAGTCCAGTTCGTTTCGTTATTCCTGAGATTTTGCGGTACACGTACCTACACATACTCTCTAGAGTATATGTAAGTACAGTTAGACCAGCTTACCCATCAGCGAGCGCGGCCCATCACCGAGCGTTGCCCGCTATTTTGCCTGCTGCAACGGTTGCTACTCACCAAATTTTGGCTGGACGCTCGCTGAGGGGCCGCGCTCGCTGATGGGCAAGCTGGTCTACTACACTACATTTATCTAGTACATACACACTAGGGGTGTGCCAACTCGCGACCGCGAGTTGTACGTTGAATTATGGGTATCAAATAAAATTTAATTCTCCCTCTACAATCATGAGGGGCCTTCGGTCCCATCCTCCTCCTCTCGTGAGTGCTCAGTACTTTGATGTGTCGTGCTGACTAATCAACATCCCTGCACTCAGCAGCCAATCAGACCGTTCCAATAATAGAAAAAATAGAGACAGTACATTATAGACATCTATGTAGATGTAGGTACATGTACTGACCTAGAGTACTCCGGTGCCTCGAGTACCTGAGTGCATGTATATGTAGCTGTTGTAGATTATACCTTGTTGTCAAGTGAGGAATTAAACATACATGTAGTCAAACCAAGGTGGTGTATACATATATGTAGTGTGTAAATCAAGGCCTAAGGCTAAGATAACATATTTGTCAACCATCCCTTCCGCCCATCATAAAACACAGCCATCAACATGTCCCCCAGATTTATTTTCCGCAATGCATCTCCACAATTCTTTCAAAGAACCTTCTCAGCAGCACGTTCTTTCCATGTTTCTGCGAGTACTTTCATTAAAGTGAACGACAGCATCCCTGAAATTGAGGTCATGGAAGATTCCCCAGGTACGATAAATAAACTTCCTCAATCATTAATACCACTACTACATACCTGATAAGACATCAGTGATTAATGGTTTTGTGCTACAGGTAACAAAATATCAATCGGAAAAGAGCTCAAGGGAAAGAAGGCAATTCTACTCGGGGTTCCTGCTGGTACATTCCTTCGGCCCAAATCGAGAAATTTTATGGCGAGAAATAACTGTGTTTTACAGCCTTCTCACCCGGGTGCAGTACGTCGCATATACCTGGGTATATCTCGGCGGATCGCAAGATCCCGATCTATGTTATTGCCGTTAACGATCCTTTCGTTACAAAGGTAAAGGCCTATGCCCTGAGGCTTAGAGCTTTATGAGATAGTGGAAAGCTCACATGAAATCATACGCAGGCATGGGGTGAATCTTTACAAGGTAGTAAAGAGGCTGGAATTCGGTTTTTGGCAGACCCTGCCTTGAAACTTACAAATGCATTGGATTTAGCCTTTGACGGGACAGCAATATTCGGCGGTCCTAGAAGTAAAAGGTATGCTTTAATAGTGGATGATGGCAAGGTCTTGAAGACATTCATTGAGCCTGATAACACTGGAATCAAAGGTAACACGTTCGAAATATTAAATGATTTCTATCTGCCGATTGCTGACTTAATGACAGTGTCTGCCGCTGAGAACGTTTTACGGGAGTGGTAGTAATTGCGTAAATTAAGAATGCTCTGATGCTCTTACTTTCATTTTTAAAAACAAGTAAACTCAAACAGCCCAGGCTTCTTCTTCTCCCTTTTTTCTCTTCAAGCCCCAGCATAATTCATTCACCGATTCGCTTCCCCTTTCACAATCGCCTTTCGGAGATATGGAATTGGCTTAGTAGTCGAGCAAGACTTTGCTCACTGTGTGCCTCAAACCACCGGAATACGTGTGCTTACCTACGGTCGTGAAAAATGGAGTCTTGCAATTTTAAACCGTGATGATCTGGTGTTTTGAAGAATTCCTGGGAGGTAAAATACATTGGGATCAGACAGTGGTTTTATGAGTAATATTAACGTCTTATTCCCGTTTAATGAGATGTTTCCAGCCTTGTATAATCTTCCCTGAGGTTGAAATACCTTGGTTTGAACTCCTGAGTTGCGCTTGATTATCAAGAAACGTGCGTATTAATAGCTGTAATTCTAAATGGGAAGAATCAGAGAGCTGACCTCTTCTAAAAGAATCATAACTACAAATAATCTAGGAGCTTGAAAATAAGGTCACTTATATGTACACGCGTGTATGCACGTATTCGTATGTGTTTGTGTGAATAAATTCGCATAACTTACTATTTTTTGAGACCTTGAATTTTGGCGGAGTAGCCACTTGTCGCGCGGGGTACAATCAAGCGAAACCGCACCCGCGGAAACGTGAAGACAAGAAGAAGGAGGAGGAGGAGAAGAAGAAGGAGAAAAGGAAGAGACAAAGAACTCTACAGACATAAAAACGATATAGGATAAAAGAGCAACGATAACCTTGGCGAGCTTTACTTTACTTGTGGTTGTTGTCTTGCCTCTTGCAACTCTAGAAAAAAAAAAACTCAACGTTTCCCCCACGAAATTCTCCGTCACCGCCTTTTCACTTCAACTTTCGCCCAACGTCACGTTGCATCTCGCCGCATCTTAGTGACTTTACGATCTCCCTCACTAACAAACTTCCTTACTCCACGATTTTCTACTTATCTCAGTAGGCATTCTACCATCTTAATTCCGGCATTCCTGCTTACCGGATTTCGAACGCAGCATTAGTAAAAAGGAACAGCTTAGTTCCTTGGAAAACCCAACCCGGATCTCCACAAATACCAGTTTAGTAAAAAGCTTGGTCAATTCCTATGGCCGACCATGAACCGCTTCAGGAGATCGAATACGAGGGTCTTCAAGGCGGAAGTCTGGCTTCGAACCTCGTCGCCGGCGCCTTTGCTGGAATAATGGTTTATATACCCTTTATACCAACTTGATTGGATTCTGTCTGGGGCTGACGAATACCTATCTACTCTCAGGAACATGTTGTTATGTATCCTGTGGATGCCATAAAGGTTTACCAGCAAACTTCAAGATCTGTTGCGGCAAGGGTTAACTAGTGTTCAGACCCGAATGCAGATCGTCAACCCCACACCAGCAGCGATGTATTCAGGTATCACAAACGCTGTTGCTCAAATATCATCTACAGAAGGCGTCCGTTCACTATGGAGAGGGATTGCGAGCGTTGCGTTGGGTGCTGGTACGTACACGTCGTTTACATGTCGAGTTTGGGTTATGAGCACAGTGAGAGTTTAATAAGGAACGCCTATAACCGGGTTTTCTCGCAGGTCCTGCTCATGCAGTTTATTTCGGAACATACGAGGCAGTTAAGCAAAAGCTTGGCGGTAATGATGGATCGGAACACCATCCATTCGCAGTTGGTATAGTACCGGTGGCTATCCCTTGCTCGCGCTGTGCTGATTATAAGTAACAGCCACTGCCGGAGCTTGTGCCACAATTGCCAGTGATGCTTTGATGAATCCCTTTGATGGTGAGATATTCCAGTCATTGGATTATACCTTCGCTAAAATGGGGCACAGTCATCAAGCAGCGCATGCAGGTTCACGGATCAACATACGAGTCAATCACCGAATGCGCTCGTACTGTATATCGCAATGAAGGGTTTCGAGCGTTTTACATCTCATATCCGACAACTCTTGCAATGACCATCCCATTCACTGCAATTCAATTCACGGTATACGAAAGCTTATCTAAGGTGTTGAATCCCGTTAAAAGATATGATCCCTTTTCGCACTGTGTGGCTGGTGGAATGGCAGGCGCCGTAGCTGCAGCGATGACCACTCCTTTGGATGTTATCAAGACCTTATTGCAGACCAGGGGAACTTCGACCGATATGCGGATACGTAATTGTGGGCAAACCTACACTTAAACTGGCGTTATAAAGAGTCTGACATGTTGTAGGTGATGGTCTTGTCAACGCCGCAAAGATTATTTACGAAAGGGAGGGGATGAAGGGATTTGCCAGAGGATTAAGGCCTCGCATTGTCACCACTATGCCTAGCACAGCCATTTGTTGGTATGTTTGAAACACCTCCAACCCACGATTTATCACTAGAAAATTAACATCTTGACAGGACATCGTATGAAATGGCCAAGTATAAATTTCGGTTCCCTCTAGTTTTGTGCGCCATTACTAATAACTTAATTTATAGATACTATCTTCTCCGCAACAATTAATTTGTCTTGTCCAATAAGAATGTATAGCGTTAAAAATCCTCGTTCGACGAATTCTTACTTGTCCTTGGTTAGGACCATAGCTGCTCTTTTCAATCATCATAAATTTAGAAGCGGGTAAACTTTTGCCGGGTCGGTGTGAATCAAGTGGAAACCCTTTTTTTTCTTTTTCTTTTCTTGCATTTATACAGGTTTGAACTTATTAGGGGAATTTACCATGAATGATTTGTAGTCTTATGGCCCATGTAAATATGCAATTTTAGGGTTAGGAGAGTACAAAAAAACTATTATTAGATTGAGTCCAAATAATCAATAGCTACATGTACCTATAAGATTGCCATCAAGTTAAGCCTTCGCTGATTGGATAGGAATGCCATCGAAGTAACTAAACTATAACTGCATATAATTACATCCTTATTCGGCTAAGTCGATATCGAGAAAGTGCCGTGGGCGCCCCACTAGTGCATCAACTTAATTTCAACCTCACGTCCTGTCCGATTTCTCACACTGCTATTTGATCTCGAAACCTCACCAAAACCAATCATAATCCTCCTACGATGCCGGTTGGTGTTGTCGTTTCGTGCGGACGGGCTTTAAAGACCATCAGGGTACGCGTGTCTACGCTACAATGGGAGAAGCATATTCGAAAGGTCAGATATCTACATCTAATCTTTCTCCCACACACTGCAATGCTAATAATTTTGTACAGGATTATGTACGACCAAAAATCCTCCTCGTCCATGATGAATATCAAGCATGCACTGAAGGCGACGTCGTTCGTGTCGAGCCCGAAACCTCTTCGAAAATGAAAAAACACATGGTTGCCGAGATTATCTCGCCGGTTCTAACGGCTGAACCCCGAAAGCCAGTTGAGACACACGAGCAATGGCTTGCTAGGATGAAGGAAAAGCGAGCTGCGAAAGAGGAAAGGAGGGTTGCAGCGAAGCCTTGGTTATGGGAAAATTCTCTTGTCTTGAAGGAACTAAGACCAGAGAAATGGCTCGAGGCAAAGGAAAAATCTTCAAGTCTCAAACAAACAGGGGTTTAGGGCGACAGTCTACGGTGGGGGTCACTACCGACATGTAGGCACGGGGTCTTGTACAAATATCATGGGATAGAAACAGCTGCCTTGAGATGTCAGTGTCGCCGCTGAAACATCCAATCTATAACTATAACGCCCATTGCGGAATTTCACGAAAGACTTTTGGCATACTAGCGTAGCAACCAATAGGGCGCGTGCCAGTCCACTCATCATCTTTCAAAGACAGAAAATAATTGTACATTTTCAAATTCATGCCTTGAGTTCTTTCAAAAGTCCTGAAGTTCAGCTGAATTTCAACTAGTGGTCCCATGATAAGGAGTATCGTCTCACACTCGCTCTCCATACTTTTTTGACCAATCTTCAAACAATTGAAGTCCTTCTTTACTTACGCTGGGTCTTATCGAAGTAAGGCTGGCTTCAAAGTCTGAGAAGATTATCGGTCGAATGTCATCTTTCTGCATCTGAAGTAATGCCTCCCCGAGACTCCGTAATGGCCCCATAGCAGCATCCTTTGCCAATGCAGTCAAGTCTGAGCCGGAAAAGCCTTTATGTGGATGTAAGCCCAATGTCTCAAGTCATCGAGAATGCTGTTAACAAACTCACCGTCAGTAAGCCCAACAAGATGCTCCATTTCTTCGTGATTAAGTTTATATTTCTGATTGCTCAATAATCGTAAAAGTTGTTTTTCCCGCGTCAGTCCTTCCGGCAAAGGAATATACTGCCTACGAACGAACCTTCGCCTAGCAGCATCGTCAATCGCCCAAGGTAAGTTTGTAGCAGCCAATACTAAAACCCTTGAGGCATCTCCTATTTTAGTGTCATTCCCGGCGGCAGCTCTTGTTAAATCAGACCACTGGATCAAAAATTCCGTCTTGATTCGTCGGGTGGCCTCATGTTCACCGCTTCCATTCCTAGAAGAAAGAAGGGAATCTATCTCATCCACAAATATGATACTTGGTGCAAGTGCTTTGGCTAGAGCGAAGAGAGCTCGAACAAGCTTCTCCGACTCACCAAGCTGCAAGACCCATTTAGATAGCTGGCTTCCTATGTGAGGAATAAGGTAATGCTTACATATTTAGACGTCAAAGAAGATGCCGATATCGAGAAGAACGTGGACTTCGATTCTGTTGCAACAGCTCTGGCAATCATTGTTTTACCAGTGCCTGGAGGGCCGAACAGTAGCATCCCTCTCACAGGCTCCCTTAGGCCACTAAATAGGTCAGGTCTTAAGAATGGATAGACGACGGCCTCCTTCAAGGCTAGTTTTGCGGCGTCTAGTCCGGCAATGTCATCCCACTTGACCTCATCCCCCTGAATGACTATCTCATTGGCTACTTGTAAGGCAGCCTGCATATCGACCCCTTTACCAATCATCTTAAGTGCATTAGCTATTCGATTACCCTCTTCTGTTGCGGCGTCATCTTGGGATACAGTCTCTTGGGAAATATTCCCGGCACTATAAGTATCGTTATCTCTCTCGGGTATTTGGCCAAACTGCTGAGAGCTCGTTTGATGGAGATCATCTTTGAGAGTTGGCAGGTTTCGCTGGTTGTTCCGCTCGATTGGAGCTATCTTCGGAGTATGATGAACTGGCTGTCGGGGTAGAGGTGAATTCACGTTCGTTATCATTGAACGTTTAACGCTAGATTTAAAGAGGTTCGGTTCTGGCGTAGTGGTAGTAATGGGTACTGGGAGATCTAGGTCTACCTGATGGTAATGTTTGGAAGTGTGGACATCTCCCAAGCCCATAGGGAATTCATGAGATGAAGTCAAGGATCTACCTAGGGGACACTTATGTGGCGGAGGGGGTGGAGGCAAAGGACCAAAGGAGGATTGACCAGAATCTCCGAAAGGAACCATCGTATTATAAGAGTGGTGTTTTTCCTTGGGTGGTATAAGACTAGGCAGGCTACGCTGTTGATAGGATGTGATAGATGGGATATGTAGGCTGTTAGGAAGATCAGATGTTGATGCAGAAGCCCCATCATGATTTCTGGTATGGTGCACAGTGTCCGCTAATGGGACTGAAAGCGAACGAGCGAGGGATTCTCCCTCGGCTCGCGATAGAGAGTTCCAAGCAAGGGCAGCTGCTTTCACAGCTGTAACGCCCTCTGGTTTAGGTGAGATCTCACTTTTCCTTTCCTTTTTGGAAGATCGTAGGGTTGATAAAAACGTTCTTTTTTCTGGGCTAGGTGTTCGAGATAATCTTGAGACACCCACGAGGGGAATCGTTCTGGTCGAATGAAAGCTACGCGTAGAATGCACCCCAAGTGACGACGGAGAGATCGTAGTAGAAGCCCGAGGCGCATGTGGCCGCTCTGGTAGTGCCGGCGGGATAAGAGAAGGTGTTGCACATTCTGTGGGGTTTGTAGGTAAAGATTTAGTAGGATCAGTCCTCTCCAGATAGCCACCAGTATTTCTCATTTGATTATTCTCGATATTTGTTTTGCTCATCAACATTGTTTGCAAAACGTCAACCTTTTCCTGACAATGATCTTGCATTATTTTTAGCGAATGCAGGAGTGTTCGCTCAGTTTCGGTGCAAGGTCGATAGCCTGCAGTATTATGACCTCGGAGTTGAGAAAGACACTCGCGCCAACATCTCAGAGCCTCGTCGTCGTTTCCCTGGCTTTCGTAGTATACCTAACGCCTCGCCATCAATAGATACACAAGGAAAAGAGCTTGATTAAGCGGGGAAGTCTTTTGGGTAGATGGGATATTTACAGCCGTGGAACATATAAGGTGCGACTGGTCATACGTCTTCTGTAATGTAGAATATGCTTTGGCCTTCATGGCATGTAGTGAAAGGTTCTGATATTTCCGATGGCTAGTTTTGTATATGAAAGTATTGGTTTGGGGGGTAATATAGCAAAAGAGCTCCTTAAAGCCAGAGTAGGGATGAAGTAGAGTAGTGGGTGCTAGAAACTACATGTACTCTAGACGAATTTCATCATACATACTTCTAATTTTGGATCTGAGCCGGATTACTGGTTAGTACGTGCGTGTGTGGTTATATATGTAGAGTACCTACTCTCCTCTACTGGTGCCTTACCGTACCTACATGAGTACCTACATTTCTATTTATATGTACATATCTCATCCTAAACCGTAGCCAATCTTTCAAACGGAGATGAAACGCTGCACTCCTGACCATACTTAAGAGCATGCTCGGCTATAAAATTAGGTGTGGTAGAGGCCAGGGTTAGGTTTTAATGTCCGCTGTCGTTGTGGCGCTGAATATTTGGAGTAGGGCCAAGCCACGCCCAACTTTGCCAAGAACCACACTCTGTGGCTTGCTTGTGAAAGTCGTTTTGTAGTGCCATTCTCATGATGGCATCTGCAAGTAGTCTTCAACTCGCATTTTGGAAGCGTTTGCTTGTGTGCTCCTTGAAAATTTATTCGTGGAGTTAATAACCCATGTGTAACAGCATTGTTGAATCGATAACGCCCGAACTGGTCTCACCGTTCTAAGCTATTTCCCCCTCTTCTCTCTATCAATTTGAAGTTGCAAATATGGTTCGGCTACATAATTATCAAGTTTGTACTTAGAAATCGGGACAGTATCTACTCCTTCACATGCCCTCCATCCTGGGTCTGAAAAGAATGCTGAATAACTTTATCAGAGATGAGGACAAAGCAGAAAAAGTAAAAGAATAAAAAAACTAGAACAGGTGAACAGGTGAACACATTTTCCTAGGGTCATGTACTTGCATCCACTTGGGTCGATTTATCGGCTTGTTCAGAAATGGCAGTAAGCTCGCCGACAAAGGATTGACCCCAGAATGAGCTTATTTCTCCTTGTTAGTATGTAGTTGATAAGGCAGTGGCAAGAAAGCTCACCTTGTATACTTTGTAACATACTCATAAAGCTTTTTATGATTTGCCTCTCGCAGATCAGGAGGAAGTGTTATAGCCTCGTGTATAGCGTTTGCCAATTCCTCTGTGTTCCATGGGTTGACAACGATACTTCCGTTCAAACTTTGAGCTGCGCCAGTGAATTCGGAAAGAATCATGACTCCATGTCGTTTTTGCTGAGTCGCGATGTACTCGTAAGAAACGAGATTCATGCCGTCCCGAGTGGAGCTAACAAGACAAACATCGGAAACGGCGTAAAGGGAGATAAGTTCTTCAAAGTTGACGCTCTTGTGCATGAAGTGAATAGGCATAAATTCAACAGAGCCTTAGGTTGAAAGAGTTAGCACCTATTATGAAGGATTTCTACTTGGACGTTATATCCTACCGAATCGGCCGTTGATACGGCCCACAAGCTCGTTTACAACTGCTCGAAGATTTTGGTATTCTTCCACATCGCCTCTACTCGGGACGGCGACTTGAACAAGAACAACTTTCCCAATCCATTCCGGGTGCTCGGTCAAGAATACCTCCAATGCATGCAGTTTTTGAGGAACGCCCTTAATATAATCTAACCTATCGACGCCCACGATAAGTTTTACACCCTGGAATTTTTTTTCGAGTTGAGCAATTCTATCTTGGACTGATTGTTTTTGCAAGCCTTCAGTGAACTTGTCGGGATCTATGCCAATGGGGAAGGCGCCTACGGTTCGTAGTTTCCCTTTGAATTCTACCCCGTTTGGAGTGGTTGTCAACCCTCTAACAGAATCAGTATGGAGCATTCAGATATTGTGCGCTTGAGGTAGGAAACTTACAATATACGAGAGCAGGATGATAGGAAGTGTCTGGCGTAGTCAAAAGTATGAAAACCTAGCAAATCGCAATGCAAAACTCCTTCAAGAATTTCCTCCCTGACTGGCAAAATTCTATATATTTCACTGCTTGGGAATGGTGTATGCAGGAAAAAGCCAATCTTCACATTCTTGACCGACGTCCCGATCTCCTCCCTTAGCATAGCAGGGAGCAGCATCAAATGATAATCGTGGACCCATACTAGGTCGCCATCCTTAACAGACTTGGCGACAGCCTTGGCAAATAGTCTATTCGCATCTCTATAAGCGACCCACGCATTCTCATCGAAGCTGATTTCGCCGGGATGGTAGTGGAACAATGGCCAAAGAATGGAGTCTTTAAAAAAACTTATTAGGAACAGCTGTGATAGTACCAGTTGTGACTGACTTACTTGAAAATCCGTTATCTTGAGAAGTGTTAGTTACGGTGAAAGGTCAATAAAGATGTACAAAATGAAAAACTCACAATGTCGATCGGCCATCTCATCAGGAATCCAAATAGGTACCGCTTGATATTTTTCTTCCAGCTCTTTCGTGACCTTATCTACATCTCCCTCTGGGACCTCTAATCCTGGCCAGCCAAACCAGTGGAAAGTTGTGTCTTTGGTCATCCCAGACAGGCCACTGACCAGCCCCCCGGAGGACATGTTGTAGGAGTATTCACCATTGTCTTTTTTCTTTAGTGATATAGGCAATCGATTGCTCACCATAATCAGGTTTGATTGCGTAGCCATAGCGGTGTGGTGCTATATGAGATGACGTTTTACAAGTAGGTGTAGTTCCCTTGAGTGTTGCGGGGTGAATAATGACTGTTGCGGGTTGAATGATAAGACTCAACAGCTGCTTCAGTCGGAACGAGGAAACAGACTGATTCCCAAGAAGTAAATAAATATGTGAGAAGTGGAGAGAGGTGGGAGGGAGGAAAGATAAGTGAAGAGAATCAGGGAGGGGTAAATACGTCAGATATGTACACAGGTACCTAGATGGACGTACTACTTCCCTACTCTAACCATGAGGGTGTTCTACCGAAAGAGTGCAGCAAACAAATCTCTAAGCAAACAATACAACCGAAAACAGGGGTCTGAATTTTTGACTAGCGCGTGCTTTAGCTGTACATAGGCTATGCCATGCAGTGAAGTCGGGATTAAAATAGTATGTATGAGGCCTTACAAAAACCACATACGTCATGAGTATGTATACCTAAGGCGGAAATAAGTTTCCGCGAGAAAACTCGGCTGTAAAACAAAAGTACATGTAGTATTAAGTAGATAAGTAGGGGCTTTCAAGTATTAGTATTCTCAACTGGGTTAACACCCATGAGTAAGATGTAAAATTCGTCGAGTGCCGTCCACTTTCAGAATCATCACTGGCTCGCGACGTTACAAATATCAAATGAGATAAGATCGAGTGACACCTTGTGAAGCCTAACATACTCGGCTTGCTGAACATTGAACTGCAGATAGTCTACACCGGAGGACGAGTGATGTTTCATGACCACATAAATTCGTCATGGAGATAGAGCACACGTACACTTTCGCCATCCATTATACTCCATTCTGGAACACCCCGATATCACGATGTTTGGCTGAATATCGTGATATCGAATATTGTTCTAGTGGTAGCGTCCTAGCCACCTCGACATTTAGATCTGCTGTCCGCCCAATATTGCGAGAAAAAATATTGGGCTCAAACGTAAATAATTGAACTGACACTTTTAGAAATGGCTCAACTCACCAAATGCACACCCGTAACACCCAGCTTGTGGTTCCAGCCGAACATATTAATTGTAATAACGATATTCACAAATATAGTGGCTCAAAAGATCAAATATTTGTTTTTAGTTAAAATAGAGTCTATCTAACAATTTGCTGTTGTAAGGCAGTGCATTCTTCTTGTGATGGGTAAACAGTATCAGCACTAGAATCGATATGGAAGACTAAAGAATTAGAATTACATTCTTCGGTAGCTACAGTAGCAAAAAAGAGTGTGTTATTCGTGCCATAGAAATACCGTAGGAACGCCGCATTTTGCCAAGCTATGTTAATTCAAATTTATGTATTTATTTATAATTCATACTACTTCCACCCGAATCCGGGTATGGCATATAAAGAAAGAAAATCCAAGATCTGCAGCTACAAACATGGGTAAATGCAAAATAAACTAAAACAACCAGAATGCCAAATAGATATAGGAAATTCTATGTATATCTGTTACGGGCATGCCAAGCATTTTATGAGAATCAAGAGAAAGGCTAATAGACACTCCCCATACCCTCTAACACTGACGGGAACACCAAAATCAACTCTGATTCTGTAACGGGGGTCTCTTCTAAGAGAAATAGAATAGGATAGAATAGAGATGGCCGTGCAAGATAGACAATCAGGTTGCAGATTATTCAAAGATACTATCGCTAGAACTCAATAATCTTTAAGGGCTCTGCTACCGATAAGAACTTGGTTTTCTTTCTGATGAAGACTCGAGAGAACAGGACTGAAGAGCGAGAATGAACCTGAGTACTTATACTCCAAAGGCCTCTATTCTCTGCTCCTAACTCCTTACTAAGTTCCGGTGAAGCCTTTCCTCGGTCCGGGAAACAATACCACCGCTATCCGGCTTTTCTCTAAGCATCAGCAGGTGTTTCCGATACCCAAGGCAACTACCCTTAGTCAAAGCCTTTGGAACACCTGCAGCCTTGGTTGCCACACAACCGGGGCCTGCATGAATGAGCTGCCGATGAGGTGTAAGCATAATCGTTGCTGTAGAGCTTTCGCTTATTGTAGACTTCCCTAGCATAGTCCCTGCTCTTCGGTGGACTTACAATGCTCAGAGGATACAGAGGATCACCGGACAATCAGAGCTTCACTCTGGCCGGCCTTCTAGTCACTGGCGAGGCATAGACTCGTCAGTCATTGCTCCCATGAATAGATCCCCTTCCTAGCGCCCGGAATGTAGTTACTCTAACAGCTGGTAGCTAACCACACTGCCGGTACTTGCATACCACCATGCAAATGGCTTCTAACAATAACTCTCAGCATGTAACCGGGCCCTGTGTGTACTCATACACCAGACAGTTGACATGGCTCCGTTACTGTGAGGGATGCGTACCAGACCACAAGAGTACACTACGCAGAGCTCAGAGTTCGGCTAACAGCTACAAAGGTAGAAGTTGTAATGGGGATCCTTTCTAAGAGAAATAGAATCGGATAGAATAGAGACGGCCGTGCAAGATAGACAATCAGGTTGCAGATTATTCAAAGATACTATCGCTAGAACTCAATAATCTTTAAGGGCTCTGCTACCGATAAGAACTTGGTTTTTCTTTCTGATGAAGACTCGAGAGAATAGGACTGAAGGGCGGGAATGAACCTGAGTACTTATACTCCGAAGGCCTCTATTCTCTGCTCCTGACTCCTTAGTAAGTTCCGGTGAAGCCTTTCCTCGGTGCCGGAAACAATACCACCACTACCCCGCTTTACTCTAAGCGTCAGCAGGTGTTTCCGATACCCAAGGCAACCACCCTTAGTCAAAGCCTTTGTAACACCTGCAGCCTTGGTTGCCAAACAACCGAGAGCCTGCGTGAATGAGCTGCCGCTCAGGTGTAAGCTTAATCATTGCTGTAGAGCTTTCGCTTATTGTAGACTTCCCTAGCATAGTCCCTGCCCTTCGGCAGACTCATAATGCTTTAGAGGATACAGAGGATCACCGTGCAATCAGAGCTTCACTCTGGCCGGTCTTCTAGTCACTGGCGAGGCATAGACTCGTCAGTCATTGCTCCCGTGAATAGATCCCCTTCCTAGCGCCCGGAATGTAGTTACTCTGACAGCTGGTAGCTAACCACACTGCCGGTACTTGCATATCATCGTGCAACTGGCTTCTAACAATAACTCTCAGCATGTAACCGGGCCCTGTGTGTACTCATACACCAGACAGTTGAAATGGCACCGTTACAGAAGTCTCCAAGGTCTCTTCAGTCAACGCCGAGTAGGAGTCTCCTCGATCCGATACGGGCCCCGCGAGCTACGTTATCAACAAAGATTCACTAGAGTTAGCGGATGGTAATCGATCGTCTTCGACGTAATAGTTCAGGTAGAGTATGAAGTCACAATAGAGTAAAGTAGTTCAAAAAGTATAGTCAAAAAGATAGAGTTGTAACTCGCGTATCAACGATTTATATTGTTAAGACTCTGATTTCGCTGATGATGGTTTGGCTAGTCAGTGAATGACACCGTATTTATATCCCTCGCATATGTCTCGAGGACCCAGTCTACTAATAATACAAAATACGCTCGGGGCCTGCCCGAGACCCTGAAAAACAACCAAGAATATTTAACTCCTAAGTCCGTAACCCAAACTCCTAAGTTCGCTGAAACCCCTCAACCTATTTACCCATTCTAATGCACGTTTCCCTGTCGATGTTTCTTCTCCATCGGCCCTCTGGTGGATAATCGTCAGCGTCGGCTACTCGTAGGTCTCAGACGGCAAGCCTACCTACTCAGGCCTCTTCCCACATCGCTTTCCCACATAGCAGAGTCCTCTCATGCCCACAGGTACCGCCAACAGGTACCGCCAAAACTCGAAAAATTGGCTATCTCCGCCCCAGGATTCTGGGGATGCCTTGCATGCCGGAAGCCAATTTTGGGCGAAACCGAGTGATTCCTCATGGTTGTTGGCACTCCCAACATGAGTTTAATTTAGAAGTTGTTGGTTTCAGATTGCAAGGATAAAAAGACGTAGTTTGACCTCCGTTTGTTGTGTTGGTAACAAAATGAACATTGCCGTTTGCTTAATTTTTCCGTTTGACTCAGAGGATCCGATGTAAAAGAATGAAAATTGTCGTGAATTTGAATGATCAGGAATGCGACTACAATGCCTAACGCGATACTACAACAATTGACTGACAGTAAAGTCAATAGCAATTGTCAATCTCTTGCCACTCAGGTTGCTATTGCACCGCACGCTAGACGGGGTCCTAAACCAAAAGCCATCAAGGACCGTACCCTCATTTTGAAAGCAATTAAGCGAGCAGAAAGGACATGGAGTCAAGGACAAAAAATACGGGTCCTAGTATTTCTTTTCCACCACCGAATACCTGTACACACCGAAAAAGAATCATATCTACGGCAGCCAACACAGCAGGAGGCATCTGAAATATTTGGTGTCCCACAGAGAACAATCAGCAATTGGGTTCGGAAACAGGAGGAAATTGAAAAGTTAGGGTTTGCAAGCGGGATTCGGAGTAGGCGGACGGAAGCTGCAGTAATCTGCAAGTGGCCCGAGTTGGAAACAAGACTTTACCATCTATTCCTATCCAGAAGAGAGAATGGTCAACCAATACGAAGAGGCTGGTTTCGAATTCATTCCAATCAAATATTCCGTGACATCTACCCCAATACCAACGTCAACCATTCCGTATTCCGATTCTCAAATGGATGGTTTGAAGCGTTTTTAAGACGGTTCCGTGTTAGTCTACGATGCATTACAAAAAAGGCTCAGAAAGTGCCAGAAGACTACCGAGTACTGGTAGTAGATTGGATGCAATTCAACCGCCGCAATTCACAGATACCAGGTGGTAGTTGGATGGAAATTTTGCTTAATAGAGCTCTTGGAAGATTTCTATTAAGCAATATATGCAACCTTGACGAAACACCACTGCCTTTTGAATATCTCAATGGCCGGACATACGAATCAATCGGTGCAAGGACTGTTTGGGTTAAGGAGACTAGGAGCGGTTGGG